GAAATGACTGGGGCAAACCAACAAGCTGCTCGTCTCAGGCCCTGCAAACTTGGCAAAATTTTGAAACGTGCAGGGGTGATTTTACTAGAGAGATCTATTTTCCTTGATCTGAGGCTTGGTGGAAAATGTAGTCAAAATGAATGGTGTTACGGGTCAGCTATTTATTCAAATAAGAATGAATGTTCCCAGAACCCGCCATAGCTGGCAGCATCGCACAGAGGTTAGAGCCCTGAGCCACCGACTTGCATGTGAGTTTGGTGACAGAGAGTAAGTTAAACAATATAAGGACATGCTCCTGGAGAGAGCTCCTTTTTAAAACTCTTCCTAACAAGTCACCCTGGGAGGCCTCTTCCCATGTGGGTGATAAAATCCCGCAATGCTGACCTCTGTCACCCCTTCACCCTCCTGGCGACCCTTTAGTAACAAGCCCCCTAATGGTCCTGGTGGCATTTCTCCCTCCAGAGAGGCTCTACTCAGAATCTAAAAGTGGCCTTAAACAGTTAGTGTTGCCCTTTGGGTCTCTCAGAGGGAGGAACTTGGGACAGCTCATTTATTACACGATACGGGAGATTTATTGGAGACGAGGGCTCAACGGAAAACATTTTTTATTTATTTCCAGTTGGAAAGGCTTGTTTGAGATTTGCTATCAGCCGTTTAATATTAGCCTCTTGAGTCAACAGCAGATCCTGAATCACAGAGGTTTCTGTTTCTCAGGAGAGATGGAAAGACAGATATCTCAGGAGTCCTGCCTCTCTGCAGGGGTTTGCAGCAAGGCCAGTGCCATTGCCACCGACACTGGTGACTATCCTGTGACCTGTAGTTCATAGCTACTCACACCTCAGCCTTACTCTAACTTTACTTAAACCTTGGGAATATTCACAGCTATACATTGGGAGGTGGAGAGGTCATAAATAGTTACTTAAATTGGAGTTAGGAGTAGTAGCCTAGTGGCCTACTCGTAGGTTAATTAAGCCTGCGGACTCTTGCTGCCAGACAGGCTGGATTTGAAGCTGGCGTCGTCATTACTAGCTCTGTGAACCTGGATGTGCTTCTTCCCTCCTCTGTGCCTCAGTTTCTTTATCTGGAAAGTGGGGATAATAATATTACCCTTTTCATAGGATTGCTTTAAGGATAAAATGAGTTAGTAATTATAAAGTGTTTAGAAGAGTGCCTGGCATATACATAATAAGCGCACAATATGTATTAGCTACTATTATGGTTGTTGATATTATTGATACCCTTTGGGGTAATAATTTTGGTTTGCGTAAGTGTCAAGGAGGCCTGTTAGAAAGTCACCATAAATTATCAGGACTTGAAGGATACATAGCCCTGAAGCCTTGGTCCCTTTTAAGGTATGAGGGACCCAGAGGGGAGGAACCGTGAACACTCATAGGATAGGTGACCTGAAATGAAGTTTGGGGCACCATCTTTGCAATTCCCAGACGGCTCAATGCCATCAGGGTTAGGAGTTGGACCTTTTTTTCATGAAATTAAGATAAACGTATGCTGTGGAATTTTCACACTGCGTAGAATTTCTTTATTCATTTGGCGGTCCTTGGCTGATACCTACTGTATGTCAGAAGCATTTAAGCCTCTAAGTCCAGGAAGGCTGAAATTGGAGCTTTCCTATTTCTTCCTACCTTGGCTGACCCGAGCATACACAACCACGCACTTAATACTTTCATACACAAATACAGGCACATTCACACAATGCATGCGTGTATTGTCTATAAAGTTACAGTGACTGTGGCACAAAGGATTTTATTCAAAAGTCTCAGCCTGAATTGGTTCCTATTGTATTGGCATATCAGTGTGCCAGGTGGCAAACTAGAATTAATTTTAATAAGACAGAAACTGCCCTAGCGCCAAAGCACCATCCCTGCCTCAGACTTTATTTTTAACCTGGGAGGGACAGCAGCCACCTGGCTGAGCGCTGACAAGCACTTGGCCTCTCTTGCCATCTGCTGAAGTCTCCGCTATCAGCCTCACCTCCAAAAAGCTGATTAGAAGGCTTTGTTTTTCTTTTGTAGGCTAGACAAGACGAGACCCCGGAAGAGCGCTGTCACCCAGCATGACAGTTTCCGTTTGCTAAGATTGGCAGACCGAGGCCAAACCTGAAAATGTCAGTAAAAACAAACAGTATTTCAAAAGGCCTTGTGTATTTCCCTTCTCCATGCTCCCCTTGCATCATCAGCCAAGTGCTGTATGACCGCCTTCAGGACAGACACCATTACACCCAAAAGGGAATTAATCACACAAAAATACGTTTTCTCCATTTCACTTAGTTCTGATGTTTTTTTTTTTTTTTTTTTTAAAGCACCTCATGCTTGTGATACAAACAAAAGAAAACCAGTTGATATTGGCTTATGTCTTTTCAAAGCTCCATTTCTCGTTTATTCTTTCACTATTTTCAGAGTCAAGCAAGATCAGACAGAAGTTCGCCAGTTCTCTTATCTCAATTTGCATTAGTCAGGCACTGTTTTCTAGTGGTTGGAGCCTGCTTCCTGCTCAGAAAGGAGAAAGCAGTTGTTGCCTTTAGAACTCAATAATACTGCCCTCTCTTTGTTCTTGCATCACAATTATTTAGGTGTCCCTCTCTCCTTTAGAGCGAAGACTTGCTCTAATGATACAAAAGGATCCTAGGGCAGATAGCAAAGTGGTTTGGAACATGGGTTTGGCATCAAACGGACCTGAGATGGAATTCTATTTCTGCCTCTTAATAGCTGGACAACCTTGGGACGTCGTCTAATTTTTCTGAGCTTCAGTTTTTTTTTCCACCTATAAATAATATGTACATACATACATTAAACTCACCTCTTAGGGTTCTCGGAAGCTGATGCCACCCACAACCCCTAACTAAAGTGCTGGGTACCCAGGGACACTGCAGTAACAGGCTCCCTCTATCCAGGCTATTGGCTCAGAATTGTAGGGACAAGCAACTAAGGTTCTGGAAGGTGACTACAGGCTCTGGACAGAAACCCTCACTTCCTTGGGCAACTCACATCTCCGAGTCTTGGTTTTCTCGTTGATACATAAGCAGACTCTTCCCTGACTACCTCTGGATCTGACTAAGTGAAAGATAGAGTCTGAGTCAAAGCTAGTCCTGTTTGAATCCAGACTTGGCTGATAACTCACCAAGTGGTGCCTGGCCTGGCACGTGGTCAGCCATGCGGTGGTCCCAAGGGCATTTTGGTAAGCGCTTCCTTAGGGAAGGACTATCTTTGAGGCTCAAAGGAGTGCTCAGTTGGGGGGGGGGAGGGAGGAATCATGCGTCACCAGGACAATTTCCATGACTTAACCTTTCTGTGTTGGGGTTTACTCAAGTGCAAATGAGGGATAATACAGTCCCCCCAAAGTAATGAGTTTTCAACTAAGGTCTTTGAAGTCTTTGAGATCATTACAGAGAATCCTGTAGAACCAGAGGGTTTTCCAGTTCCTCATTGAGGTTTCAGGTTAATGTCTGCAAAACTCACAGAAATCGTTGGATTCAATCACTCTTTAACCAGTGGATAGCAGTTAGGCCTCATGTGAGATGCCATTAACTCTTGAGAGCAAACCACAGGGCTTGGGTCTATCTGTCAAGATGCTGAAAGAGCATTTTTGAGGAAATTTCAAGGAGTCATTCATTCATTCAACATTTGATGAGCATCTCCCCACTGTCAGATACTGCTGTGAGCATTACAGAAACAGCTGTAAACCAGTAAAAGGCCCTTGCTGTTTTGGAATGTCCGTCACAGAAAGGGCAGATGGATAATAACTAAATGCACAAATAGATAAACAAGTTGCTGTGAAGACACAAAAGCAAAGTGAAGTGAGGGAGACTCTGCAAGTTGGATAGACATGTTCAGGGAAGGGCTCTAAGATGAGGTGATGTGGAGCTGAAAAACAAGAATGTGATCATCTGAGGACAGAACATTCCAGACAGAGGGAAAGGCAGGTGTAAATGTTCTAAGGTGGAAAAGAGCTCAGAGTGCCCACAGGAAATGAAGAAAGCTTTGTATCTGGAGCAGAGTGAGCTACTTAAAGGTTGGAGAGGGAGCTAGGAGACAGATCATGTAGATCTTATCAACTATGATAAGGAAATTTATTCTGGATGCAGCCAGAAGACATTGGCGGTTATAAGCAAGGGAATGACACCACACGGTTGAGGGAAAATGCTCATAATATAACAGTACGTGGGGGAAAAGGCTCCCAAATCTAAAACTGTATATATTTAGTATCCTTTTAACTGGAAACATATTCACGTATTCAGAAAACAAACTGAAAGAAAATACAGCAAAATATTTATAATGTTAAGCTGTAGTTTTCTTAGTGGTCGACTTGCTTTTCCTTCATTACTTTCTTGAATTGTTTAAGTTTTCTACAAGTTCGTGTTACTTTAATAATCAGAAATAAATCATATGCTTCTTATGTTATTTTTTTCTTATTTATCTAATCACCTACTGAGGGATATCTTGGTTGTTTCTACATTTTGGCAATTATGAATAAAGCTACTATAAACACCCATGAGCAGGTTTCTGAGTGGACATAAGTTCTCAACTCCTTTGGATAAACACCAGGAGTGTGATAGCTGGATCTTACAGTAAAAGAATGTTTAGTTTTGTAAGAAACCGTCGAAAGGCCTTCCAAAGTGGCTGTACCATTTTGCAATGTCATCATTGTTAAAAGATAAACTGAGGCATATTAAAAGTTTTAAGAGTTTATTTGGGCAAAAATCTATTCCAATCAGGCAGTGCCAAACCCAAAGCAGGCTCTCAATCGTATACGTTTTAAAAACTTTGTTGTGGAGTAATTGATGGAGAGAAAGTGAGAGTGACGCTGCTTTTACTGTGTCTTATCTCAGATTTGAGCTTAATGTATGGTGTTTTGGAATGATGGAGTGAATATTGAAGGCTCTGGCCAGTAAAGAAGTTTATTTGGAGTTTTTGTTCAAAAACAAACTTTTACACCTTTCAAGTTATTTATGTAAAAGAATCTAACATTTCTGTTTCTTCCCTTAGAGTTGAATGTAACCTGCCGATATGACGGTGTATTCCATGTGGAGAAAAATGGTCGCTACAGCATCTCGCGGACAGAGGCTGCTGACCTCTGCAAAGCTTTCAATTGCAGCCTGCCCACCATGGCCCAGATGGAGAAAGCCCGGAAGGCAGGGTTTGAGACCTGCAGGTAAGAGGCCAGTAACCTGCCGGCTGCGGAAAGCTGGCTGACTGGCAGACGGGGCCTAAGGGGCGGGGCTTAGAACTGGGAAGGCTCCTCCCTGACAGCTGATTGGATGATTGCCTGAGGGTCTGCCCCACCTATTAATTTGGCCAAGCCAATCTGGAACCTGCATGACAACTGAAATTTAAAGCCGTCTAAAGACTCCTTTGTGAATCATAGCCCAGTTGCCCAGAGGAGGCCATTAAGGGTCATCCGCTGTAATCCTCTTGCCTGAAGTGCTTCCACAGCGCTCTATGGCTTTGAAGAAGTGTGTAATATCATTGTCGGAACCACAAGAAAACGTAAACCAAATAACAGTGTTTAAAATAAATATGTGCTTGGTGGAATCTTGGCCCTGCAGACTTGGCTCAAAGCAGATTTCTCTCTCTCTCTCTCTCTCTCTCTCTCTCTCTCTCTCTCTCTCTCTCTCTCTCTCTCTCTCTCTCTCTCATTCTTTTCTATGTTGCTCTGGTGTGAGAGGGTTAAAAAATGCATGAAAATTATTAAGGTATATTACAAGTCATTGGGGAGCGATCAGAGGGACCTACGAAGACCTTCTGAGAGGTTTCTATGGTTATCAACGGCTCCATGGAGCCTTCTTCAAGCCTTCCTTCCTGCTCCAGGACAATCACAGCAGGCAACGGACTTGTTGTTGTTGTTGTTGTTTTTGGAGTTTCTGCTCACCCTGTGGTGAGTGGTGCACTTTAAGAGCAAGCAGTTTTGTTGACCACAGTGAAGTGTTTTAGTTTGGCTTGTTTTCACTAGAGCTGTGGGTTGTCTGCATCACTGCTCCAAAGTTTCCACCCCAGCCTGTCACTACCCACTCTGTTTTTGCAATGCAACATCATTAGGTAACGTGGTTCCCCTTTTTCTTCAGTGCGCCCATGTACAAACACAGACTGCCTTTTAAAAGTCCAGCTCATGACTCTTTGTGAAAACCATTAAATGTAAGTTAAATACACCTTTCCCCGATCCTTGGTTACAGAGCAATGCACCCACTTTATGAGCAGGAGCTGAAACTCTTGCTGAAAAGGAAAAGGGAAATGTTTACTCTAAAATTGCACTGTCTAATATAGTAGCCACTAGCCATGTATGGCAATTTACACTTAATTAAAATTAAATAAAATAAAAATCTTGGTTCTTGAGTGGCGCTAGCTATATTTCAAGTGCTCAGCTAGCCACAAATGGCTAGTGGCTACTGTATGGGACAACATAGATTATAGAACGTTTTCCATTATCACAGAAGGTTCTACTGAGTAGCCCTTCTCTAAACCAAAGAGAAGCTATATACAGCCATCTGTATGTGTTCAGAGCTGGGTCTGGGAGAACATACAAGGGAGCAGAGAGCAGCTGATAGCTGCTCAACCTGAGCTGCAGGCTCCAATGAAGGAAGGCCAATGAGCAGATCCGTTTGTTCTATACACAAGGCTACTTGTTTAAGTATGGCCGTGACTAGGTCAGTAGCCTAATAAAGTGGATTTAGTAAGCTGAATTTTGATTGTGAAATGCAGACAAGTTTTACTTACAAAATATAGAAATGTTCTCATACGCCAAAAAAGAGGGAACTTCTTACTACTCCCACTGGCCAATGATCGAGCACTTAGATGTTGGGCACCCTACTGTCCACTTCCCACACTCCCACAGTTAATCCTCAGACTGTACCATGGTTGATTATACTATCCCACTTACTGGTGAAGCAACTGAAGCTGAGAGAAATCTCCCAGCTCACCCTAGGCCACATCATTTGCATGGGGAAGAGTCTAGATTCAGGTCCTGCTTCATCTGAGCCCAGGACAATGTTTTAATGACCAACCCCTCCCGAAGGACTGACAGCAAAAGACAGATGGAAGTTTGCTGCATGGATTTACTGAGTATTCCTTTCTTCCCTGTGAACGGCAACCTACTCATGCAATATACACGCATATAAATTTTAATATCCCCAACTCATGCACAGGGCAACACATAGCACTGGCAGTCGACATAAATGTGGCAAAAACTCAGAATAACTTGCAAAAGAAATGCAGATTCTAGAAAGCTGGTGTTATACACACTTGGTACCTACGAGTATGATGGGGCGGGATAGGCGGTAGGCTCACCAAGGAGTATCATTATTAAAAAAAGGAAAAGAAAAACTATGCCAAGGAAATCTATTGTGACACTTATAGCTGGTATAAGTTTTGCAAAACTCATTTCCATAATTTCACTCAGGTAGCTATGAGTCAGCTATAGGACAGATGGCAGTCTCAGGCTATGATAAAACTTTAGCAGCTACTCTCTGCTGTCTGCCCCACCCTGATTAGTAGCAATTCTCAGGTATATGGAAACTTATTAACATTTAATTGCAACTCCTCCCCCCACCAAGCTAAGGAGTCTTTGGAGAAACCAGTCTGTCGGTTTAGATGAGGAATTAGTCATGCGAGCTACAATTGCAACACAGACATAATGAGCTCTATGTGCTTGGAAACTTCAAACTCACAGCCATTTCCATGGGTCTTGCAGAGCAATGCTCTATTTTTGCCCCTGGCAGGAAAGATTAAAAGGATCTAGGCTGTGCATTTTAGCCAGCACTGCATTTTCAAAAACCTGCTGGATTTAGTTTCTCCTCTCTGCCAGTCCCCTGCCATCACGTCTTCCATTGCAAATGGTATTTTTCTAAGCCCACATCGCATTTTTTGAGGCATTTTATATTCAGAAGAAATTGTACAGTGAGTATTTAGCCACTATGATGACGATAAAGAGGCTGGGTGCTGTATGTTGTCAATGAGAGGGCCTCCAGCTCCGACATACTCCCAGAAACTCCTTGGTGAGGGTGTAGAGGGCTTAAGCACTTCTCTAGCTGTGCTGCTTCTGGAAAATTCTTGAACTAAATGAGGCACTGCTATCTACTTACTTAATCATTATTACTCTCTTTTTTTTTTTTAAAGATTTTTATTGGGGAATTGGGGGAAGGGAAACAGACAAGTTGCTGTCCTTTTGTTCTTCAGTCTAGTTGTGGAGGACGTTGCTTCACTGGCCCAAGTTGGCACCATCATTGCGCTCTTCCCAGGCGAGGCAGATCAGTCGCCAGCTTCTGGACGGCCGCTCACGCTGGCTGCTGGCCACTCACGGTAGCCCATGGCAACCCACCTGCCGTCCCCGGTGACTGACAGTCCCCCAGCTCCAGGTTGAGCTGTTGTTCAGCATCTTAGCTGTAGAGGGCAGTGTCACTGGCCCTCATATGTGGGATCCGAACCGGGGCTCCCTGGCATCCCAAGCCAGCTCTTAACCATCGCGCCACTCGGCCGGTCCTATTACTCCCATTTTAAGGATGGTCAATTTACTTCCACTGGCAGTGAAATTATGCCTGGGATGCTCATGAGGCAAAACGCTCTTGTATCTGACATCTGAACAGGCTTCATGTTTAGGGCAATGGAGTGTGGAATGAGGGACTCACAGGAAAAGGCGAGGCAGAGAGAGAAGTGTAGGGGATGGGAAATAAGGCAGGTTTGACATTTGGGGACTGAAATGAAGAGCCACTTAGTCCTATCTTATGATAGCTGGTCATTTTATGTATTTTCTGAAAAATATGAGGGTAGTGGAGAGCCAGAGTGAATCTCACATCATAAAATGGTCATTCTTCTCTCTCCATGACTCGGGCTTCCTCTACTTGTTCACACTGACTTGACACTGCTGACCACAAGTTTTATTTGAAGCTAACTTTTTCTTTCATGAATCTCTTTTTTTTAAAAAAAAAGCTCTGATAGAGCCCTAAGCAAAATCACTTGGTCTCCATCAGTCTTGTTGATTCTTTTCCCTTTCCCTCTGTTGTTGTTTTTGGATTTCACATAACTCAGTTGTTGAAACCTCTAACGTTTCTCCGGATGAGCTGAATAAAGCATTGCGCTGCATGGCATGTCATTGGATGGGATACGATGAACTACCCATCACCACCTGGCAGGTGGCTAACCGCTGGTGCTTCTTTTGCAGGTACGGGTTTATAGAAGGGCATGTGGTGATCCCTCGGATTCACCCCAACGCCATCTGTGCTGCAAACCACACAGGAGTGTACATCCTCACCTCCAACACCTCCCACTATGACACGTACTGCTTCAACGCTTCAGGTTGGTTCCAAGGGGATTGTCTTTGCGTTTTGGATGGCTTTGGGCAGGGAGGCCTGTGGCAGCCAGTGTGGCCACCAGCGTTTCCATCACTGCTAAGAGGGGATGCGCCTAGCTTTTAGATGCTCACTGAATATCTCTACAGCAGAGATGAGATCCCAGCAGAGATGAGGGTGCTTACTTGCTAAGTCGAAGAGGCCAACAGTAAAGAAATGAATATTAAGTGCCTTATATGACGTCAGAGAGGAACAAGAGCTATAAAAAAGCAAGCAGAGCAAAAAGGCTTCAGAGTGTTAGGGCGGCTTTTTTTCTGAGAAGGCGGTCAGGAAAAGAGTCTCTGAGGAGGCGTGTCTACAAGAGCCCTGAGGGAAGTGAGGGCGGAAAGCCAGCGGGCAGAGTAGCCAGCCAGGGCAAAGCCAGGCCCGTGGGAGCAACATGGCCTGTTTCAGGAACAGCAGGGAGGCCAACGTGGATAAAGCCCAGCGGTCAGAGAGAAGAATGAAGTCAGAGAGGTAGGAAGGCGCCAAATCACATAAGGCCTTGGAGGCCACAATGAAAGAGTTTGGATTTTGTTCTCAGTGTGATGGGAAGTCATTGCAGGATTTTGAATAGGGAAATGACATGAATCTAAGGATAGCATTAGCGTACAAGCCAAATGGCTTAGCTCAGAGGTATTTATTATATGTTAAGGCTAGAGAGAAGGCTGGGAGGATATATGGCAGGTCTTTGACCTTGTTGAGTGTCCTTACCTAAGAACTGAGAGCCTGACAACGAGAGAATAAGGAAGCCAAGTTAAGATTTACATGCTGGGCTGCTGTCCAGGCCCCCTCCCTGTCTAAGGGAGTTACTTCCAGCTATCAGCATAGAAACACATGCTTACAAGTCTAATTCAGGCCTCAGCAAAACTAAAGAATTCTACGCATCGTGAATCTTCAGGGTCTTTTGAGAAGGGTCAAATCCATAAACGTCAATTTTTTTAATGTTAACCATCAAATGCCTTACTTCTCAAACTGGGACTTCAGTTCCCCTTAAACGTTTGCGATTTTATGAAGGGGAAGATGAAGCCATGTCTTCCTGGAATGTTAGTCTCCGTTAAAGACAGGAAGGGACTGTTCAATTAGCTGGAAAGTGACTTAACTTATTTTCTGTGTAAGATAAACACAGATATTATATGTGGTAGTGGAATATAAAATCTGCATGGATTTTTTAAAGCTACTTTAAGGGAGGGACATCAAAGAAATTGTGAGATTACATCAGTAGCTTTAGGCTATGCCATCCAGCAGTAGTTTCCAGAGTGGGAACTCAGAGGGTTTAGGAGAAAGAGAAAGTATCAGCGTTCGTTAGTTAAAAATGGAGTATGTTTGAAGCCAGTGAATTCTGTCAAATACATGCAGGTCACTAAATCTATGAAGGGACACTCAAAATAAGAAGGAGCAAACTGTAGAATGTTTACTCCTCCCTGTCATACGAACAAAGAACACACTTGGAGTTTCACCAAAAGGAGGAGAGTACATCTGAGCCTACACAGTATATGCCCCATATCCAGTTCCCACAGCCATATCCAGAATGTCCATTCTAATGACTCAATAATGAGAACAACCACATGCAAATAAACAGGAAATAGGCACAGTGCCACATATGGTCTAGCTAGCTTATTTTAGTGCCAGAACTCATGGAAGATTTGGGAAGACTTTGTGCTTTAGATGAAGGTGTTGGCCATATGGAAAAGAGCTAGCAACAGACTGCCTACCGTTGAATGTCTCTGGGTACTGCCTGTTGGGACTGCCACGGAATCTTGTTGAATGAGTGTGTCCAGTAAATTATGTTGTTGTGTATTCACATTGTCTCACCTATTTGCAAGTTGGTATCCCTTGTTGGGAAGAACCTTTACTCAAAAAGGTAGATGCTCACACTGTTTTATTGCTTGGAAATGAGGCCATCTAGGCAAGTTACTACTGAGACTTTCCTCCCTGCCCTTATTTTTGCTCATGAAATTGGGCCTGTCCTCAGAGAAGGGAGTTAACAGTACTGATGAATTTTCCTCTTCTTTGGGAAGGATAGTTCCCTTGAAAAGCTTGAGAAGTCCTGGGGTTGTATTGCATACCAAAATGGCTGTATTAAAATTGTGAAGTTTGAAGTGACATTTTTTTCCTTTCTCTTTTCCAGATTTATTCAATATGGATAGGCTGCTTTCATAAGCCTTTTTTAAGTTTTAAAAAACATATTTATTGATCAGCTATATGTGCTCAGTACTGTGCTGGGCAGAGTAGGGTGAGGAAGAACTGGGGGCCATATTTCTTATTTTGGGAGTTAATCTTGTTGAAGCATCAAGACAAAAAGTGAAGGAGCTTGAGAAGAATGTTTACCCTAAGGGTAAATAAATTCTAACTGTCTTGGTTTAGAGTTAGATGATAGGGGTATTAGGTGAGCGACAGATCTTGATAACCCTGGACTCCACGCAAAAGATCTCATTGGAAAGATCCTTGAATCCAATGTAGCCAGAGAACTACCAACATGACCCAGTGATATGATCCCTCCACAAACTGATTACAAGGACCAAAGCCAGCTCAATCTTAGCGGATAGCTTCTGTATGCTTACAAGTTCAGCAAGGTTTTTTTCAAACACAGCCTGTGGTTTACAAATGAAAATAAGGCAGACCCTAGAAAGGCATTGTGATTTTTATTGCCTCATCTCTCAGCAGTAAGCCCAGCTTGAGACTGGTGTCTTCTGTGTTAACACAAAGAGCTGACTTGAATTAGTTCATTTTTTAAGATTGCTTTGAATGACATGTCTCAGTCTATTATTATTATTATTATTATTATTATTATTATTATTATTATTATAGTTTCAGGTGTATAAAGCAACATAATAGTTAGACATTTATACCCCTCACAAAGTGATAACCCTTCCCCCAAGTTACGACCCCTCTGACACCTTATATAACTGTTACAATACCATTGACTATCTTCCTCATTCTCTTTTGAAGGGGAAGTTTAGAGGAAAAGTCTACATTTGTTTATTCATTCACTCATTTATTCACCAAACATTTATTGGATACCTAGAATGTATTAGGCATTGAGGAAGGTGTCTTTCAATCTGGCACTGAGTGATTAGCTAGATTGAATAATTAACCTTTTTCCTGGCAATTTTGGTGCAGTGGATGCAAGGTTTCTGAGATGCAGCCCACCAGGAAGCTTACCCCAGAGTCTTTCTAAAAAATCTTTAGGTTCAGGAAAACCACACCAGGTCTAATTCTCCCAGCAAAGCAATGCTTATTAAACAGAATAAAAGGCTATCTAATGAGGCTCTGCTCTGACATGGGAGCATGAATGTATTAATTGCACATTTGGGTCACCATCCATCTTAGTATGCCTGCCAAATTTGATGTTCTTTATAAAAGTTAAGGTGAATTAGAGCATGAAGGGGGCCCGTTTCAACAAATGCCCTAATCATCTACAAAACTGTCTTAGTGTTTTTGACATCATATCCCCAACCCCCACTTCTATGACAACGTAAGTCCTAGAAATTCCCAGTATACTACTGTTCCCTCCAGTTGTGTTTGAATTTGGGGGAGATTCTTCCATCCCCGCCATTGGGAAGTGATACTCCAAGACCTATTTCTGGGTATATGCAGCATAACAATATCAGAAGCATGTCACAGAGCAGGCCAGGTTCTGGTGGTGTCCCCAAAACAGACAGGGTAGATACTCTTTAAGATGGCCCAGGTTGGCGATTTGCCTTGATTTTTCCAATGAGGGGTTCATTGGGGAAATTTTGTGAAAACTGTAAAAATCTAAAGAAATATTATTATTGTCCCCCATGAAGAACTGGGAAGCAGCCAAACCCTGTTTTGTTCAACTTGTGTTTTTGTCCAATGTTATGAATAGTCAGTGGTTTATGGCAAGCCACTTAAAATACTTGTGATAATAGACTTCCTTGTGATAACAATCTGTCTGCATCCATCCATCCATCCATCCATCCATCCATCCATCCATCCATCTATTCCTTTGTTCCTTCTTTTTTGCCAAGGAGCAACTTTGGGAGAAACCAACCTAACAAATAAGTTGCCATTTTAAATTAAAGTCACACACACACACACACACACACACACACACAGAGTATAAAAGCCATAATGCACAAATGGATCTAACTTTCCTAGAATAGCAAAGCCAATTTAAAGTTTTTAGAGCTCTAGTTACCGAATAGAGAACTTGGACACGAATGGAGCAGTTGGTTGAGACATTTTGCAGTCTTCTTTTAGGACTCAAGGGATGGCATGCACATGGAACTTTCAGGGCCTGTTTTCATAGGGCTTTACACAATGCTTCTCAGATGGCTACTGGTAACGTATGTAGGTGGTCAGACAGGCCCAAGGTACAGTCAGAAATCTTGATTCCTGAAGAAGGGGACAGGAAGTAGATAATAAATGGAGGACAAGAGTAAAAGAAGCCAGGGATACCCTCAGTAAGATGTACCAAAACAGTAGCCTGAGGCACTATTCTGGGCACCCAGACCAAAGGTAGACAACCGCAGAAACTACATGTCGAGAAGCATTCTATGCAGAGCAGTCACTTAAGGAAATCAGTCAAATTAATAAAAAAGTAATACATAAGACTAAATATGAGTCTGTTTTAAAATTATTCTATCAAGTAAATTCCTTGTCGTTTATTTTAATCTTCAGATTCTCATGCTTTTCATGTTGATGAACATTTGATTGTATTTGTTTTTTCATCATTTGTGCAGATTATTCAGATTACACTGATTTTCTCATTATTATAGATGTCTTTAAAAAATTGTTGCACTCTTCCCACATTACTTTTATAATAACAAATTAAGAAATAAATTTCTAATGTGTGCTTCCTTAGAGAAGGACCATGTCTATCTTATTCACCATTGTACCCTTTAGCCTTCCACAACATTTGATATAGAACATATATATTTGTTAATGAGTGAATTTGTTGGAGTGGAAAGAGGAAGAAGTAAGCATCTAAAAATGTATGAAGCTAAATAAAAATGAAAAATGAATCGTAAAGATCAGAGAAATTCCCAGGAGATCTAACCAAGTTTCAGAAAAAAAAGTTATTTGAGATAAGTTACAATAAAACTTCACCTTAATTAACTAATAGAAATGGGAATCAATTTTGCTCATATTTTTTAGACTTCTCATGCCTTTTTTCTTTTCTACCCTATAGCTCCGGAGGGACATGATTGTGCATCGATCACAGACCTGCCCAATGCCTTTGATGGACCAATTACCATAAGTACGTATCTCTTCTAATCTTGACTGAGGTTCCCCATACTTGGGAAAAGGATCAGGTGCATTTCTGTGTTTTATATTTGAATAGAACACCAGTCATTTCCCTAAAGCTAGTCACTTGGGCTATGATTCTGTGCCCTTTCCTCTTTTCCTGCAATGGCTTGAAACAGCTATCTGGTTCATCCCAATACACTATTCCTCAAACTTCAGTCATTTGAAAACTACTTGCACTTTTTTTTTTGCATTTCTTTGTACACAGTACTATTATTGATATTTTTAATTTAATTAATCCATCCTTTTCTACTTAAAATACATTTATTCTTTTTAAAAATATCAAATGAAAAACCAACACCCCTGGTCATAATTAGAAGGTAACCTTAAAAATAAATTTATTGTAAATGTAGAGAAAATTAAATAATGTTCTTAAATTGTACCTGCTGAAGGCTCTGAGCTGTGTTCTGTCTTATAGAGGGGGATCATTAGTGGTAGGGGTAGGGGCATTCCGCCCCCCCCCCCCAGATTTTGTGTTTGATTTAACTGGAGTATTGAAAGATAATTATAAAGTTTATAAGCTTCCTGATATGTGATTCAACATTATTTATACCATGTCCACTTAAAATCGTTTTGATTGTCTCCAAAAGTAGGCATCTGGCACTGTGGCAAACAGAATTTCGCAACCAAAACTTTCAAATAGGTCCACCTATTAACTCTGACATTATTGCCTCTGAACCTCATTTCTTTGAGAAGTGTCGCAATGTTGAGAGAGCCTGATTTCTGTCTCCTAAGAGCCAGACCCCTCAGTATACATGGGGACAGTGGTTTGGTGGCCAGGGGGTGAGAATCTTCCTAGACCATACAAATCCAGCCCACTACTGTTAGGTAGGGCATTGTCCCTGGCCTGTGCTTTGCAAAAAGAAGTGGAAGCCTGCAATGTGAGATGCGCTGTCTCAGTCAGGCCTGGTTTGAAATCCTAGCTCCTTAGCAACTGGATGAACTTAAAGGAATGACTTAGTCTTTCTGAGCCTAAGTTTTCTCATTTGTGTCATGGAACAGCATATGAGATTTGTCATGAAAACTAAGAAAGATAATATGTCTAATGCATACCTGGCCCACAGTAGATGGTCAGTAAATGTCCCATTTACTTGGTCCCCACAGATCTCTTTTCGAGTCCAGACCTGTACAAGTTTGGTCATTTCCTTACCAGATCCTCATCTGCAGAGATTATCAGGGTGATAGATACTTTAGAATTATTTTACATTCATATTTTATTAATAGGCTTACTTGGGCAAGCTAGATAGGATGACAAAAGGAATCTTTAGTCTTACCAATGCAATGCATACAATAATTTCAGTTAAAAGAACACTTGTTCAGTGAGGGGCCCAGACTTGAAGGAAGCAAATACTTTTAGGGGTGAACAATGAATGAATTCATCCTTATTTTTTCCTCTTGTCTATTCTAGTCATTTGTTTGTTTAAATCAAAGATTTTAATCTTTATATACATCTGTGCTTCTTAATTTCAAGGTTGAATTTCACAGAGGCTGGCAGAGGCTCTGTCAATATTTAGGTATGCTAATTTCTTAGCCCGGAGTAGAGGTTCACTTAAATTAACAAAGTTTGGTGCTTAGGAAGAAAATCTAATTCTTCATGGATTTACAAATAGACGTATATTCCCTGCTGAGTCTACTAGCATCTTTGTTTCCTACTTCAAATTCTATCTGAATTAGGTGGAATTAATGGCAACAAAGTTCACATGTTCTTGAGAAAGGAGAGTAGGGTCCATCCAGGAGGGGGATTTATCATTTCTTGAGCACTATCTATACTTTGAATACTGTGCTAGCACTTTACATGCACTATCATATAGTGCTCATAAGAGAAGGTAGTATTATCCCTATTTTACAAATGACAAAACTGAAGCTCAGAGAGTTACCTACCTTGTCTAGAGCCACACAAAACTGGAATTCAAACACAGGACTCCCAAACACACCTTCTTTTCCCCTCCCCATTTCCAAAGTGTGTGCATGGGCAGGAAGGATATTTTTCTCAGTTCTTCAGCCACTTATCTACCCACTAGCTAGATAGTTAGGTGTTTCTTAAAAAAAAAAAAAAGCTTTGAAATCACTGTCTTATGTAATAATTCACAGTCTTTTCTATACTCAGAAAACATCAGCTGTCAAGTTCTGAAAGTGCCTTCTCTCTCTCCCAGGTATTATTAACAGTGATGGCAGCAAATACATCCAGAAAGGTGAATACAGAACTAACCCTGAAGACATCAACTCTAGCAACTACACCAACTCTACTGAGGATGACATGAGCAGTGGATTCTCCAGTGAAAGAAGCACTTTAGGAGATTACATATTCCACACCCACCTTCCAACTGCACAACCAACCCAAGACCAAGGCAATCGCTGGGAGTTCGTCACCCCAGAGGAAACCCCCACTACCAGTAAGGAGAATGAATCACTGTGCTTTCCAATAACGATTCTTTTGCAGAAACATCTCTGATCTTCTTGAGTGCTATGCACTCATATGTCGATGGTCTCCTGTCTCTAGAAGTTGGTGACATCATTTGGGGAGTAGGCTGTTGTGATTGTCAGTGCCCTGTGTGCATTGACTGTTACAGCCAACAGTGTTTTGGTGTGTGTGTTTTTTTCCATCCACAACTCTGTTTTCCTTACCTTGGGATAAGAAGTGCCACATCGAAAGTTTTTTAGAAGAACTTACCTTGTTCTCTTGTCTCAGGGATATGGTGACAGTTCAAGCCTGATGCAGAAGCTATTTTCATTTTTGTATGTTTCCTTCTGGCGCTTATCCACCTTAACAATCTTATGATAAGATTGTTTTCATAAGTTGGGATCACAGCAGATGCAGACCATTCTATCTGCTCCTTTTTTCTCTAACTTCACTGTATATTTTTATATTTTAACCTGATTTATACTCATGTTATTGATTGTATAATATTGAATCATATTCATTACCCATGATTTATTGAACGACTCCTTTGTTTTTGGTCTAAAGAAACATAGCGGAAGGAGTTATCTGATCAAATTAAATCTCTTAAGAATTTTATATTCCAGCCTGAAGGGGAAGGCTCTTAATACTTGCTTGGTTTGTGTGGGCCGTTCATTACCTTGGGACTGTGAGAGTGGAAATACTCACATGTAAACAGTACCTTTGATTTCTTTGGGGTTTGGCTTCGCTTTCTTTGGAAAATGGTTACATCTCTATCTTGTCTCCTTTGCTTCCCTCTTTGCCTTTTCCTCATGGTTTGTTTTAAAACATGTTTCCAGATTGGCTGTGTTCCTTCTGTGAAGGATTATTCCAACTCAAGTAGGGCATCTGGCACTTGCGCGGTTTTCCTAGCATGGCGTGGACTTGCTCTTCCTGGCTATGGCTCTGGAGGGGTGGGTGGGACTCTGCTCTCCGAAGAGTGGGGCAGAAATTTATTGGTTTGTGCGAGCTCTAGATAGGAACCTTTTACAGTCCTCATGACCCAGAAGGCAAGGAAGCCCCCAGCGTTTGATGATTTCATATAAGGTTACTTGCTAAACAACGGTTTAAATTTTTATTAGCAGCTTGCTGAGGGGATGGTACAAATAAGCTTCGGGCTCTGGTCATTCTCTGCAGATTCTGTGAAGCATTTCAAAAAGCAGTTACTATCAAGTTGCCTGTGCTTTCCCAGATCATTGGCTCTCTAGAGCAAACTGTTTGTAACTTTATTGTCTGTAATCCCATGGACAACTCTTCTTGAGAGAAGCTTCTGCGAACCAGGCTGGCAGGGCTGCTGGCTATGTGTTGCTTCTTGAGTACCCTGCCTTTTCAAAGTAGTATGTTGAAGATGCTTATCGTCAGGGCGTGCAATTTTGTCAGACAATTTGTTAGCAGACAATAATAGTTGGGAAGCAGATCGGGTCTACCCTCAGGTATCATTTCCCACCAAAGAAGAAAATCGTGAAGTTAACATACAAGCTGCTAACAGCCTATATAAAACAGTATTTCACATGTGCTTTAGAAAGGGCAATTAGCACATTTATGAACATGTATAGCACATCCTTTAAGGACTGTACCTTTCCTGCCTGTTAGTTGGTCAGCAAACATATTTTGAGGACCTACTACGTACTACACCTATTCTGACGCTTAGGATCCAGTAGTAAGCACCATTAGAAAGTGGTATTGAAGAGAAGTAAGTATTAGTAAACTAGTCATTCATGCGAATGATATTTGAGGTCTTCTCTGTGCCAGACATTGCTCTAGGTACTGAGGATTCAGAGTTGGACCTACCTTCATGGACCCTATACATTGTTCAGAAATCCAGGAAGAGGAGTGTTACGAGATTTCACTGAAACATAGTTCAGGATTTGGGTTGAAAAAAGAACTGTGCTTCCTCTCTCCAGAGGATTTAGCTAAATTTCTTCCAGTAGTTAAGGAAGACAGAGACTCATTTGTCCACCAGAGTGAGTCCAGGGCTAACAGATTGTTAGTGAAGTACTGTAGGATCCAATTAGGCCAACTGCAGCTTCAAATAAATCAATGCACGCAAAGAAGGTTGTCAAAGAAAACAATAAGGTGGAAACTTGAAAGGAGCATATGGTATACTAGAAAAAGTTAGCACCGGTAAGTTCCTGAATAGACCATATTTTCTAATCCAGTGAGGAGATTCTCAAAACCCCATGGCTGTTGGACTGAGAGTTGGGACTTAGTGAGAGGGAGTGATTGAAAATCCTCCCTAATGCATGCAGGAGGGCAGAGGTCAAGAGGAGATCTGGCCGAGTACCTAAAATCGCTCTTTGGCTTGGGTGGCTCATTCCTTCCTTAACGGTCCTTAGTGGGTGGCAATCGGGAGAGCCAGTAAGAACCATCTGGGTAAGTTTTGACTTCCAGCAGGCTTTTTTATTACAAGTGTTATTTTTGGAAAAGCCCTCGTGGAGGCGTGTCTCAGCCTCTTTTCGGTTGGTGACTTAAAATTCTCTGGGATCCAGAAACCTAAACTAATTCAGGAAGCAGCTCCTGCCTGGGAATACTCTATTTCCTTGTGTTCTGGGTGTCAAAGAAACATTTTTTTTTTTGGTCTGGCATGGTCTACTTCGGTGGGGAAAATTGGAAACTCTGCTAGGCAGTAGCTTTTTCCATTTTCCCAGAATCCCATACAACTCCTTTAGGGAAGACAGAAATACTGCCAATTTCTAGCTTGCTCATATATGTTTACTTCCTGTTGGTCTCCTCCTGGTGTATTATAGGGTGAGGGTGGCAGGAACCATGCACCTTTAATAAGTTTCTGAGGTGAGAATGGGGTGTCTATGAATCTTTCACTGGATGCTCAGGTTTATCTCAGGGCATCACTGTGGCATTGGCTCCTGTCTCTCTACTCTCTATTCCAAGCAGATGTATCCTTTGTAGCATAAAACATATTGTGCAGGTGGTTGACATCTGTTGTGTGTAGAGTCCAAGGTGTTAACAAGGAATTTCTGGACTTCGAGTAGATTCAACAACAGGCCATAAGGTCTACAAGGCCCCCTGAAATAACATGCACAATTTCGAGAATGTGTAATGTGAAGGATCACGTTTTTGAGGAGAAGGCGTCACTTGTATCAGATTTTCAAAGGGATGTGTGACTCAAAATGGTTTGTAAAAATCACAAGTGGTTTAGATGTCTATTCTGATGATCTTTGCCATTCTCCTTCTACAGGGAAACGTTCTGGACACAGTCCAGCTTGAGAGTCAAATGAGAGATTTCAAATTGTAAAATATTACTGATGATCCTTTCTCTAATTTGAACAGAGCCCAGAACTTCTCTAAGTTGAGCAGTTTTGTTTCTTTTCCAGAAACACATTCTGAATTAGAATTAAAAGGGACAGAAAGTGACAGATGGATACTTGAGAAAGCTTTACCTGATTTCAACTTGTTGGGCACACACCCTTTGCGAAGTGCCTGCTTAAGTATAAAGCTTGACTTGAGGTTAATAAGTGTGAGTGGAGATTTGAAATGCCAGTTGTTGTCACAAGCTACCTGGATAAAATGATAGACCCAAAAGATACAGGCAAGCACCTCTAAAGGTTCCCCAAAAATAGATGAGTGAGAGCAACTTTATGAAATGCTGTGCTAAAGACCTTCAGTTCATAGCTAGGTTGCCCAATCAAGTAAATGTAAAAATCTCTTTCCATCATAGGTTATTAAGTTGATACTTGATATTGCTCTGAGCCTGTATTCAGGGGATCTTGTTTGAAGAATCAGTCGCCCTGAAGTGATACCCATACAGAATTTGCACTTCTGATGTTATCCTAAGATTTTAGGAGACTTTAGGAGAGTGGAAAGATAAACCCAAGCCTCAATCCTTCTTTTCTAATCTTCATTCTATAATAGATACAGACATTCTACATAGAGAGTACTGAGAGTAAAGGTTTTGAAGAAAGGTCTCACTGAATGGTATTTTCATAATTGATTCAGTTACTTCAACTGTGTACTCAAACAGCCATGCAGCAGTTCAGGACAAATTAATTGAATATGGTCCTGGTTTGATAATTTACAGCCTAAGATTCAGGATCAAACAACAGCAACCACAGGTAAACTGTTATGTCTTCTGCTTATTTGTTGTCCTTTGCCAAGTCCTTTAGGGTTCAGGAAAAGGACATCCATTATTATTTTCTACTGATGCTCTGTCACCACCATTAATGAGGTCAGGCTGTGGTACCATTTCATTTATCAGAGAGGCCTATGGATCTGGGGACACAACTGGATACTCCTAATGTACTAATTGTTTTTCTTTTAGAAACATGCACTAGAATCAGAAATATTTTTTTCCTTTAGGGGCTTCCATTAGGAGATGCATTCACTATGAGTCCTCTGGAAAGAAGTCTATTGGAAAAATGCATGCTCCTACTTTCTGCTAATTATTACAGTCAATAATAATGGAGGGAAAATTGATTTACAGATGGAAAATGGAGGCCCTGGACACTTATTTGGACATCTGAAACCTCAACTGCAAACTGTAGGAAGTCAGCTGTTGCTTTACATCAGAATCTAGGCCTCTAACAAGCTCCCTGGATCTCTGACTATTACCGTGTTTCCCCAAAAATATAACAGGGTCTTATATTAATTTTTTGCTCCAAAAGACGCATTTTATTAATTTGTTCATGTACAAAAATCTACATGTATTCAAATACAGTCATGTCTGGCTGATGATCTTAACTGGGGCTTATTTTGGGGTAGGGCTTATATTACACGCACCCTGAAAATCATACTAGGGCTTATTTTCTGGTTAGGTCTTATTTTCAGGGAAACATGGTAACCCTGAGTCCCTGCAAAGTATTTTGACTTGAGAGCTTTTGTGGGAAAACATTCAGAGTCTATAATAATGGCAGGTTACAAGCATACGAGTATCTTCATTTATTAACTTTTGTCGTGAAGGATATGGTCATATTTCAAAATGATTTGGCATATTTTTGACAGAAGGAGAGTAATAAAATGGCCCTTTACATTTGCTTAGCTTGTAGGACATTGAATAAACTATATTCTTTATTTCAACAAATACTCAAGTAAGGAAAAGAGTGCCTATTTTTGTGAGTCCATATCATAGTGACAGAGATGATTCTGCAGAGAGACAGAGAGAGGAAGGGAGGGAGGGAAGGAGAGAGGGAGAGAAAGAGATACTGAAGAATAAAGAATATGCTGTTTTTACATGTTTACAATGTTTTTCTTCATAGGACAAACATTGTGAAGGAAACAGTCTTGTCAATGTTTCATCTTGGGTCGTTTCTGAGCTTTCTTGATAGCTAAAAAAAAGGAATCTAATTCACCATACTTTTGTATTTGGGGATTTAATGATGGTATTAGTCTCTCTGCTTGAACTTTTTTCAGTTTCTCATCTATTATCTAATATTCTTCTGATGCACATCATGGTTACAGAAATGGCCATCTTTAAAAGTATTCAAATCAGGACTCTTGCTTTTGGTCTTATTAGTGAGATCATTGGGTCACTTTCCCTTGGTCTGTCTTTTCTGATTGCTTATTTTATTTTCAAAAGCTGGGACTCAAAATGTCCTATTCTGCCTTGCAAAATATAGTTTGATATAAAAAGTGACTGTGGGCAAGGCTGTTAGAAGATTTGGACTCTAAATGGAGAAAAGCAGAAAGGCATTTTTTTCCTTGTTTTGTATCATATGTCATTCTTCATGTGTCTGGGATTGCTTGCAATATCATATCCTAAATTCTTAGAGGATGGTTTTTGTTGGCCAAGATATAGTATATAGAAGATGAAGGGCTAGGACTCTGAAGAGCTTGGTTTTAGAATTATGGACTCTCAGATTTGGAGAGCATCTCCAAATGCTCTAGTTCATTTAACACTCTTAATCATTTAATCTCTTACACAGCTTTCCTCCTAAGTGATCTTCCTGATGGTGGAAAATAGAATACTTTATGAAGATTGTTGGATAGTTCAAATTATTACCTTTTTAAATCCAACATTTGGAAAAATAAGTCACCTCCCTGAAATTCTCACTACAGGTCCCAATTTGGCCTTTTGGGAGCACAGACACAAATTTAATTCCTCTTTTACATTATAGCCTCTCAAAATTCAAAGGCTGCTCTCATGCTCGTCCTGAGACCTCCCTGTTGTTTAGCCTTCTGACTTCAGACAGGTCAAGTTCCATCTTTCTATCTTTAAGATGAGGAGCATGAGCCAGATGATATTTAAGGTCCTTCCATCTCTGACATTCTATGAACTCCAGTTTGGGCCTCTGAAAGACATGGAACTGTGCTTTTTTACTTTTTTTCTGCCATCTATATCCAGTATAGATGACTCTCTTGTGTAGTAAAAAAGTAAAAGCATATACAATGTTATTTCCTAGGAGCTGATAGTTAATCTATCAACAATCAATTCAATTATGGTTACAACAGCTATGGTGAGCACTAGTAATACAAGTCCCAAAAGCAAGCAAGAGGCGAGAACCTCAGGATAGGTTTTTGTGGTTGATTCAATCATCAGAGTTCAACAACTCTCTTCACATAACAACAATAATGGCTAGTAATTAGTTATCATTATCTCATTTTATATGTTTTCTTTCTTTTTAAGATTTTATTGGGGAATTGGGGGATTGGGGAAGTGGAACAGACAAGTTGCTGTCCTTTTGTTCTTCAGTCTAGTTGTGGAGGACGTCGCTTCACTGGCCTATGTTGGTATTGTGATCATTGCATTCTTCCCAGCTGAGGCTATCGGTCGCCGGCCATTGGATGGCCACTCACAGCAGCTCATGCCAGCTGCCGGCCACTCACGGTAGCTCACAGTAGCCCACGGCAGCCCACTGCAGCCTATGCCATCACCGGCCACTCACGGCAGCCCAGCTCCAGGTGGAGCCGTTGTTCACCATCCTAGCTATAGAGGGTGCAGTGTCACTAGCCCTCATGTGGGATCCGAACCGGCAGCCCTACTGCTCAGAGCTCACACTCCCAAGCCAACTGTTAACCAACTGAACCACTGGGCCGGCCCTCATATGTTTTCTTGACAGTCTTCAATAGTTCTCATTGACCTTAGGGATACTGCAAAATCTATTCTAGTTTCACAAATGTTTTTGATGACTCCTGAAGGATCAGGAGCTCTGAGATCTATCTATATATTTCATTTGATAGCACCATTAAGCATATTTCTTCTTTCTACTCTATAGAATTAATAAAGCCCAGGAGGAGGCTAATACAGGGACTGTGAAAAGGGGCCAGGTCTTTCTTGATGACAGAACAAAATTTTGACTCGGAAAGGTATTCTAAAACGACCAAAGTAAAAAGTTAAAAACTTTTAATTTTTCATGAGAAAATAAAATAGCACAGCTAGAGCTAACAAAATTTAGAAAATCTCCATCAGTGGAACTATTCTTGGGGTAGATATAGATACTAACAGTGTGAAAAGACAAATGGTCATTCCAAAAGGTAGCATGAATCTCATTCAAAATGCAGGAAACCCCTTTTCAGTAAAGAGATGTCTTCTACAGTAACCATTGAGAAGAGATGGAAGCTTTCCTCTTTTCTTGTGATTGCATCCAAAATGGGAAAAGTGAGACTTTCTCCAGATCTTGGCTACAGCCCACTTTAGTTAACCAGAAGGGTTGACCAATAAATGGCAGTCATGACTTCTCTGTTACTTGACTTTTTTTTTTTTTTGGTGTATGGTAAAGTATTATTGAGAACTGCAGTGGAACTTTCATTTGTGCTCACAGTACAGCGATCTGATGATAGAGAAGATCAAAAAATGAAATAGCAAATTTTGAATACATCTATGAAATTTTAGAAACAGCTGACGCGTGTTTAGATTCCAAGATTTTTCTGAAGTATCTTGACACAACAAATAGGCACATGTGAAAACTTTCCATTCTATTCTAGACAGCCTAGCTTTCATGGCACATGCTTAATAAGTTAATAAGTGTATCTAAAAGCATGGAGGAGTGTTTATTGACCTTTTTTTTCATTTTCTTCTTTAGTTGGGTTCTGTCTATATTTATTCTTTTAACTTCCTTAAAGAGAATTGTTCAGTAGTAAAGATCATAGCCAATCGTTTTTAGATCTATAGAGTAGCTTCCGAGACCAAGATATAAGAATTGGGGGCATTGTACATCAAATGCTTCACATTCTTCTTATAACCTTGGGAATTCCATTATACATTCTGTTCCTGATTTTCTTCCTATGTCAAATGGGTTGCTTGGCATCCAGCTCAGCTACTAACGCAAGTCACCACAACAGGTATGGATTCAAGTCTCATCTCAGCAGGCTGGGAGCCAACTGAAGAAGATGAAAGTGACAAACACCCTATTCATTCTGGATCAGGCATTGATGATGATGAAGATTTTATCTCCAGCACCAGTAAGAATAATTGATTACAGTAGAACCATTTATGCAAGGCTTACCAATTTATTGGAGTGTTGGCCAATAGTATTTTTATCTTGGGAAGTAGTTGATATGAAAAATGAGCACAAGCGTAAGATCACACCTTAGTTATATACCTTGATAAGATTATGAAGGAAGCAATAGATTTTGGTTTCATGGAAGCCAAAACATTTGGAAGAGAAATGGGAAAAGTATCTTTTGTAAAATTCTTAATGTCTCATAATCTTCCTATTTTGTCTGTGTATGCGGTCTGCTGCTAGACTCTCTTTGAGCTGCTGAGTTTTGTCAGAGAATACCATAGTAAGAAATTACAGCCAATATTCATTGTGTGCCTATTGTGTTAGGTGCTAGGAATACAAATATGAAAAAAGCCAGAGCTCTTACCTTCAAAGGACTCATGGCATATTTAAGCAATGGACGGGAGAATGTTATTGGGAGGATATTAATTAAAAGTTGTAGATCATCCTAAATTGAAGACTTAGAAGACCCCAGAAAGGCTTAGAAGATGGGAACTAGAACTCAAGAATTGCCTTAATCAATACCTGGTTGAGGTCAAGGGAACAAATCCAGAGTTCTAACAAACCAATTGGGCATCAATATAACAGAAAGACATGGAAGCAAATGACAACTGTCAGCTGAGATTTAAGAAAACAGTACCCATTATTATAAACAAATAGCATAATAGTATAAAAATTTGTGACAATTATAAAACTTTTTGAGAACAGAGATGGAAATTGAGCTAAAAAAAGTCCTCAAAAAGAAAACATATAGCAATTGGTCTAATATTGTGCCAAATGACTGAGTTTCCTATTTATACCTGTAATGATCAAAGATTTTGCTGAACAGAGATGAGAATCCTGAACCTGATTTCATCACAGCTTTGCTTTTTCTTAGAGAAGGTGTGCCTTTGGGGTACTATGAGCTCTCCTGGGTCACTGAAGTTTTGTCCGTCCAATTGAAACCTCAGAGTATTGTCTCAAAATGGACAGCACTCAGAGAGGGAGGGATAAAAAAAAATAATAGCTTAGGTCTTGAAGGCATCTAAGTATATGGCATTGATAGCACAAACACTTGAGATGAACTAGATGCTTTACATCTAAGCTGTTAAGTGGTGTCCAGGCTAAGAAATATAGTCCAGGCAATATTTCTTAACCTGGACACCTCTGCTAAGCTTAATCTAGAATAAGGAAACTCTTTTTAGTAACTTCAGAAAGAAAATCTAATAACCAAAAACATTGCAGCTTTATTGTTACACTGTCTATTGGGTTCAGGATGTGGTCCCATCTTCCAGGAGGGGCCATCAGTAAGGATGTGGTCTTGATAGTTGAGAAACTAAACTCTCTTGGGTAATAATCCAAACAGATCAACCTGAAAACAAATTGTATATTCACACTCCAGGGGAAAACGTCCCTTGGTATTTTTCATCTCTGTGGCATAGTTGCCAATTTCAGTTCATCTTTGTGCTTGGCAGCTACGTACATAATTCATCAGGATGCCCTCCTTCTCCTGAAGGGTATGGAAACTGCCACTTTTTCATGCTTTTGGGGAATGTGGTTGATGATTTTAAACCTGGTTTTCTTGTGAAATGGAAATGATACTATTACAGTTCTGAAAAGAGTTTTGTGTTATTTTGGTATCAAAATAAAGTTTGAAAGAATTAGGAGGGATTTGCAAATTACCTTTTCACAAAAGATATTGATTCTGATTTTGTCATGATCCTTCTGTCAGGTGTGTCGTCTATGCTAGCCCTATCATTTTGGGTGACAGTATCGGGGCACTGGTGGATGTATGCCTTTTTTCTTTTTTTCCTGGGGGTGCTGTGATGGTGGTTGGTTACCTATGGTGTTTTTCTACGGAATGTACACATCTTGTTTTTCTTTCATTGGCTACGAATATCTTGCATGTGAAATGCTTTGTACTTGATGAGAATACCATATGTGCTTGAATAATATTCAGAAATGTATAGCTAAGTCATATGGCTGTTATAGGTAGACATCCTTTCTTAGAATCACCTGTAGGAAACCTCTGGCTGCTCGGGCAGTTCCTTTCCCCCACCAAAACTGCTAAAGGAATAAAGTGATCATCGAGGTGTAACTTTCAGGTACCTGCCTCTTCATCTCCTGAGGATCAACGAGTAGCACCCTTGCCAGCAATGCAAACTCCTTGAGCTTTCAAGCACGGAGGCTGTTACAGACTGCATGGAAGGGCAAAGCTCTGCCGTCTTTGGTTAACTTCGGTGGAGGGCTGGTGTTTTCAAAGCTATTCCTCCTCCTGCCGCAACTTCTTTGGCTGCTTTCTCCAGAAGATCTCATGTTCTGACTCCAGCGTATTCTATGACAGAATGCAAAGGACACTGAGATGCTTAACGATATGACTGAATCCAGCTAAAGGCACTCTCTGCTTTCCCTCCATTTCCACTCAGCCATCTATACAACCTGGTATAGATGATTTACTATATTATAGACGAAAGAAGGGGGAAATGTGCAAAACAGGTGGTGAAGGCTCAAGAAATAACTTTCTCCTAATGACGTCAATCATCGTTATCACAATTTCAGCCACACGACGGGTTTTTGATGACCCCAAACAGAATGACAATTTGCAGCAGTGGAGCCCAGACTTTTTAAATCCAGAAATATTACTTCAGACAACCACAAGGATGACTGGTAATGGGATATGCATTCTTAATTAAAGAATTTTTTTTCCCCTCAAAGTCTATGATATTGCAAAGGTCAATCATCAAGACACAGTGGGAAATTTAGTTAATACCTCATCACCAGTTCGTAGTAAATGTTTAATGAGGATACTCAGTTGAACGTGGGGGCCATTTAGAAATCATACCATCTGGGCACAAGATATTTTATGTTGCATCATTATACAAATGAATACATTAAAATGGTTTATGGTGCTATCCTTGAGAAAGTGGGGTAACAGGCCACCACTAAGACATTCTGTGCCTGTTGGTTTTCTCTTGGGAGAAAGTATTGAAGTCGCTCAAAAGTATTGAGAGTCGATGCTCAGAGATACTATTTAGGCATAGAATCACTAAATAGCATACACTTGAATGGAAGAACAGAACCATCAAAGGTTGGTTGATTAAAAGTCACAGCATATATACCCATCATCACAGCAGATGTGGACAGAAACGTCACCAGTGATTATGGAGAAGACTGGACCCAGGAACCACATTCCACTCTCACTCGCCATGAGCATCACGAGGAAGAGGAGGCTCAGCAGTCTGCAAGCACAAGTAAGAGTGGCGGTCAGCAGCTCTGGGTTAAATGACTTAGTGAAGTCATTCCAAAGAATAGGGAAGACCATTTTTAGACATTGGTCACATCTTCTATTTCCACACAGCATTTTTTTTTATCCCCAGAACATGAAAAGCTGCCAAATCTGCACACAATTTTTAGAAATCAGGGGGAAAAAAGTGCTAACTTGTCAGGTTGCCCCAAAAGCCAAAATGTTTCACAATGTTTAGAAAGTTAAATTTTAAAAAGATCTGAGATACGGTTTTTGTGTTAAAGATTCATAGAGGCTCCACTTGGTTGTTCAGGGAAATGTATAATGAAGAATATGTTCTTTGGGTGCTTAGTAGTTATATCTGGAAAGAAAGATTGACTAGTGCAACGATCTTTAGAGTCTTCATTTTCTATGAAGGTCTTTGATGAATCCAGTTTCTTCTTCATAGTCTGTTCCTCACTGCATTATAGAAAGGCATCTCTTACACTCTTTAGAGAAAAGTCGATAGCTTGGATGGTCTGTATTTGAATTCTATGACTTTTCTTTTTCTGTTTTTAAGCCAAGGATAACTTGGGGGAGGCTTTGATGCTGTTTTCTTCTATTTATGTGCAAACATGTCAGGTTTTCTAAAATAATCTCAAGTCTCACTACTGGACTAAGAAGAGAACAAAAAAAGCAAGAAGTATTGGCTTGTCGGAAAAGTCATGATGTATTTTTTCTGTTTTTCATTGCGTCATGACTTTTCCAACAACCCAATATATACTCTTCTTTTATCTATTTCTCAGATGCCTACCACGTTTGGAATAAAATAAGCTTTAATTTAGGATAACAACTTGTAGCATTGTTAAAACTATGGCTCAACCATCATTCTCACAGTCTTGGATACTCCTAAAGCAAAAATGTAAGAAACAGCCACTTAAAAGCCAAAGGAGACACCAAAAAGGTTTGAGAATCCATGGTTTGAGGGATGTCTTCAGACAACAAAAGAAACATTTCAGACATCAGCTAAGACACAGGTTGATAAGCCCTAGGCATTGCACTGAATACGTCCAACAGGCCTACATCTCACTACTTACCCTGATAGATTTGCTATGCACGTGAGAATTAGGAACTGAGTTAACAACAGTCCTCTGATAGAGGAAAGAAATAGGAAGTGTAAGTCTCCTCAGAATGGCATTCTGTACTAGTCCTCTTTGGACCCAACACTATAATTTGGAAATTATTTAAGACAGCTTGTACTTAAAAAGCAGAAAGATATTTAAGAGGCTTAGAATTAATGATAAAAAATCAAACGAGACATAGCAGAACCTAACAGAAGGAAAGTAGCACCAGCCTCAGCAATTCTCTTATCAGCACTTCCAAAACATAAAGAGATTCTGGTTGGTGACCTCTGAGCTTTATCAAAAGAACATTACAACATAATAGACACTTCAAAGAATTATGTGACTATCTCACCGGACTAAGGAAGGGTCCTAGGGAAAATTAATAAGGCCCTTGAATGTTGTACAGAAATGACTCTCTTTTTTATTACAGTACAAAACTCAAATATGAAGTAAGGATGTCATGATTTTATTAGAAAAATTATGTAAAAAATCCAAACATGTAATTTATTCTTGTTCTGAGAATTTACATATAGTTAAATAAATGTAAAAAGGTTTATTTAAAAAAATAAAAAGAACTTTCTAGAAGAAAGTCAACCTTCATATTATACAATGAAAATCCTATATTCTGCTAACTCATATGTTGAAAACAACAGTGGGTTACTGGGTATTTAAAGGATCATTGTGTTTATAAAGATAGTGATAGGAGGAGTGTAGAGAAGTGTGCATGTGTGCGTATACACACACACACGTGAGTGCACATGATTTTTTTTCTTTTTCTGTTCTGTTTCTTATTTTTTTAATTTTGAATAGGCAGTTTATATTTGGGTTAACTTTCCTTTTTTTTTTTAGTAATTGCACTCATTGGTTTTTCTAACTTCATTACTTGTTAGGAGGCAGTTATTTAGTTACTGGGAAGTAAAGCTTAAGATTTTGGGGATTTTCCCTTTCCATCTGATAACAAGTTAACCCCAGGAATGTTTTGGCTAATGTTAGAGTAAAATGACAATAAGTTTTATTTTTAAAAATGTCTTTGCTACTATAAAATCACACATATTTTCTAAATAATGAAATACTCAATTTTACAAGTTGCAAAATATACTTCAGCTTGACAAGTTGATAGGCTCTCTATTTCTTGAGAACTAAAAATTTGCTATCAGTTGCTTTAGATGAAAATGTCAGTGGCTTTCTAGTTTTTCCTATCAGGACCCTGATATACTTGTATTCCATTCATTTTGTCCTTTCAAAAACTGGATAATTACAACATTGTAGTTGAAATTTTAAGCCTGTCACATATTCACATTATCTATATAATGCCAAACACTGGCTAGAATAGTCTCTTCCACTGAATTCATTTTGTTAAAACATAGTTTTAACCATTTGAGATGCCACATAGGCATAACCTGGTAATGTGCCAGTGGAGGAGCACCCCGGACCTTCCCAACATCTTCTATGCTGGGCAAGTCCACAGCTAGTGCATTTTCAGTGCATGTGATTATGGGTCACGGGACCATCATTTCAGAAGGCCTTCTTCTAGGCTGTATTGTCATCATTGATGGTTATGGAATATATTCCTCCCCCCAAAATCACTGAAGCAAGGAGGCTAATTCTTTGAGTAGTTCTCTCAGAAGATATGGGGCCATAGGCTCTAGGAAAATAAGAACAATACTGGGAATTCACAACAATGGTCTAGCTCTGACTACGCCAATCTGGCTATATGATTTTGAGCAAATCAAAACTTCTTTGGGCCCCATTTTTTTCCCATCTGATAATTAAAAGATTGGGTCATTTGACTTTTAATATCCTTTTCAGAGCATCAGTGGTCTCTCCTCCTTGCTGTTTTTGTTCTCTACCTTCTCACCCACATGTATATGCCCTTAAAATAGAAAGATATGTGTTGGTGAGGAAATCGAACAATAATGGCTCACAACCAACATTCTTCTCACAGCCCCGGCAACCCCTAGTAGCGCAACAGAAGAAACAGCTACCCAGAAAGAGCAATGGTTTCCGAACAGATGGCCTGGGGAGTATCCCCAAACGCCCAAAGAAGACTCTCCTTCAACAACAGGGACGGCTGGTAATGGATGGTTTAACAAGCAAACTTGGGTGGGAACTTTATTTTGGGTTAAATGCTGAACATTGAGGACATTGAACAAAAAAGACATCGAAGGAATTATTGCAAGGTGTTGAGGTTGCTTAACAAATTACGGTGTGGTCAACACAGAGCCAAGACTTAAATGCTCGTAACAAATCACCTGAACAGAAATGAGTATCAGCACACAAAGGAGACACAGGCAATATATATGCCATTGCATATTTCACTTTCAAATTTAATTTTGGGCTTCCCCTGGTGAGACCGTAGAAGAGACTCTGATCTTATAAAATACTCCCTTTTGTTTTATAAAGGAATTTAATTTTTGATATGGGTTTAGACTTTACAGCATGGTTCTATAATATACTTGGCTTGTTAGAAAGCATTTGGTCAGAACCCTGGTGTTTAAAGAAATGGAGCTAGACATTTTGAGAAAAATACCTGTCTGATGTCATTTGGCCCTTTTGTCATGTCTCTTTGGAGATTTCAACTTGAATGTGCAAGGTTTTTGTTAGATTTACGAAAAACACACCTTCTCTACTCTTGAGTTGTGGGATTGTGGCAATTGGACTCAAGTCTTTTCATCTCTAAGAGCTTGGCTCTGCAAGTTCCTATGCATGATTCTTTTGTCTGCGTAACAGAAACATTGAAATGCACCCTGCCTCATAAATGAATATGAATTCCATCTTTTCACTTGGTATGAGTGAGAAATATCCCCATGTTTCCATTGGCAATATAGAATATAATGCATGCCGTCCTTGCAGTGTGTGTCAGCTTCCGAATGCCTTCCTGGCAGAGCAACGGATTCAGTGACTGGCTATGTGGTGTGGTTGGTTGTTGCTAAGGGTTGTTGCTAAAGATTACTACTGTAATCTTTACTACCTATACTTCTTCATTGGCACAGGCTGAAGCAAAACCATGTGCTTCCTTCTTATATGTCTTTGGTGCCATAAATCTCATTGTTAGCAGGTAATGCTTCTAACGCGTTTCATTCATGCTTTTGAGATGAATGGCATTTACTTTCATATTTATCTCATGGAAGCTGTTACTTGATTCCTTCTCTAAACCACTCGCAGCCTAATGTGCATTTTACTGGGATGTGGGTGTCTTGGAATGACATCATAGGCTTGGACTTGGACACTTCCTCTTTTTGTGGATGGTGGCAACCTGGCATGGGTCAAGAACTACTTCTCCTTTATCTTCACTTGATGTCTATAACTCATCTTTTATTCATTGGAGAAGTCATTGATGCTTTTGTGTCCTCTAGTTCACATTCTGATTGCTGAGTAAATGAGCATGAATGAACCCTTCCCTGCTGAAAGATTCTGCGTTTATGCAACCTAATGGCCCTCAATGCCAGGAAGATGTTTTCATTGTTTTGTCTAGAGAAAAAAGTCGTTTTTTAAAAATCAGTTTATCTTTGGTCAAATGTCAACTAACACTTTGACAATTGCTTGAACTGCATAGTCACAACAGCCTCAGCCCATGACAGCCATCCAGATCAAAGAATGACAACGCAGAGTCAAGAGGACAGTTCCTGGACTTATTTCTTCGACCTAATCTCACATCCAATGGGACAAGGTCATCAAACAGAAAAAACAATGGGTAATAGCCTCTGAGCGTTTTTTATGTTATGTTTTTGAAAGCCACCAAATGGCTATTTTCCTAGAAATATGACCTTGGTTTTAGACCAGTCTCCTTTCCTAGGGATCTTGATGTTTCTTCAAAAATTAGTTTTCTTGGAAGGATTGATTTGAACATTCATCTGACTATGAAGTCCTGGGCTGAAAGTGAAGATTTGTCAGGAGGGTTAAAGAATTAGTCTTAGATTATGGGATTGGACGTCATTTCCTCTGAAAAAGGAACAAAGATTTTTTTCCATTTACTTCTAAGTGCAGGGTTTTTAAAAGAGTGAAGTGATGGATTCATTTCCATTGTATTGAAGTGACTATTTCCATTGTAGACCCAAAGATATAATTTATCTTAGGTAGAGAAATCTTAGATGTCAAAAATTGGTGAGTTACTCATTCTTAACAAGTAACTAAAAAGCTCAGAAAACTTTATTATGTATTCTTGCCACATTTAGAGATAAATATGATACCCAGTGGCTTAAGATTTAGACCACTGTTGGCCCTCAATAAGCATTTGTGTATTTAATGAACGGACAACTTTTATACAGGATGGAATCTCTGTTTTCTTAAACATCATTCTTATTTACCTATAAGCAATTCAAAAACAGAAATAAAAAAAATAAATAAATAAAATGCACACAGGAATTTGACTGTACATCTCAGCACATGTTGGGGCACCCATGGAGAATTTCCTTTGAGGTAATTGATTGGTGTAAGGAGCAGTACAGAGTTTATTTCGATTTATTTATTTTAATAAAATAAATTTATTTATTTTACTTTATTTCAATAAAATTAAGTTTGCTGCACTTAGAAAAATAAATAAATAAAAATAAAATTTAAAAAAAAGAAGTAAATGAGAGAGAGAGTAAAAAATGATATTAGTTGTAGTTCTGCAAGAATGGAAGATTGTGATTTTATTTGACCAATTTTCATTTTTCAAAGGGATTTTTCCTTTATCAGAACAAATAACAATTTTTCTTAGAGAATATGTAAGAGTTGGTAGCAGGTAGTGCCCCTCTTTCCTGTCTTTACAAATTGAAAAATCCATGTTCCTTACTATACTCATGAATAGTTACTCAAGTTTTGTTTTGTTTTGTCATTTAACAAGATGTCTTGGTTGTAAAAATGTAACATTCCAAAAAGGGAGATAAACCAAAGAACCAATATGAGGATATGAATTTTTATTCATGGCATTGAATATATAACCTGGATCCAAACTGCCAAGTGTATGCATAACATGAACCTTACTGAAATGAATCCTAAGAGCACAATGACAATGCCTATCAGGAGTGAATTGAACAGTTGTCTCCAAAATGAATGCAACAGTTTCTGTGGTTTCATTTCTTTTGAAGAGCCTAACTATGTCATACCCAAATATTAGTGATTAGATATCACCAGATATTAATGGTTAGGCTCTACATGGGTATTAAATATCTCCTAAATATGCAAGGCGTTACAGAGACACAACAATATACAATTCATGGTCCTTGCTTTTAGGGAACTTCAAATTTAACTAGGAAAATAAAACATTTAGCATCAAAATATATCTAACAATATGAGACAGCAAGTATTAGATATAAAATGAATGCCCACAACAGTAAACACCGAAGAAATTCAGAGTACCCTCCAGGGAGCTTTAGAGAAAGGTGGATTGGATTTGGTTTTTGAAAAATGGGAAAAAGACTGGCGAGTCAGAGAAAGGAAGTCAGAGAAAATTTTTGTAGGAAGAAGACTCATGTAAGGACAGGCATAAAGGAAGGAAAGCCAGTGAATTAATTGTGAATGAATTTGTCAAAGTGAATGGATCCATTCATCATAAAGTAAGCTGACTCTGAATGGCTAGGTTGTGGCCATCATGTTAAGAGGCTGAGGTGCCACATGCACACCCAGCACACATGTTTATGCACATGGCTGTTGGAACTCTGATGATACGCATGGTGGAAAACCAACCCAGTAAAATAACATCAGAAGCAGTATGAAGTCTCCATACTGATGAACAGAATGAAATTTCATTAAATTGATGAACATGTCAAGGATGACACAGTTGGTTCAAACCATAGAACAGTGTGATACCTTGCAAAGGATTCTACTTATAAAAAGGAAGATGAACAGGAGTGTCTCAAGACCATCAACAGGCAGGATTTTTCCTGAGGGAATATCCATTTGGGGTTTTGATTTGGGTTAGCTAATGTTTCCACTTTTTTGAAATCGGGGATAATAGAGTCAGCCACGTTTTGTCCTAGAAAGATCTTGAGTTCTTTTGTTTTTGTATGTAAAGGCTGAAATGTAGATGTGGGTGCCCAATATTTCAGGGTTTCCCTCTGGAGTTATCTGGAACTGATTAAATCTCTCCAGAGGCAGCAGTGTAGGCTGATTTCGAATTGGAGAGCCAGCAATAATGCCGGTGTTTATGGATGATTTGACCTTTATTGTTATTTCAACAGAATTGATTTGTGATAATTATTTTTTTAAAAAGCATTTGTAAATATTTCAGTGAAATTTCTCTACCACTCAATATTGTGTGTGTTAAGTCCCAAAGATACCACATACTTGTGCTTATAGGAAGACTGATTCACTGATATCCACTTCTTACTTTTTGCCCCTAACTTCTTCCTGTGGTCTCCACCTAGGTAGTCTTGGATGATGAAGTTATGTTTTATTTGTATGTTCACTTTATGAAATACAAGAAGACCAAATGAGGAAAGAGGGCTGTAAAAAAACTTCTTTGGCCAAGTAAGGGGAGGGGGCGTGGGGTGGGGGGTGACAAAGTGGTGCAGGCACCACTACACTCTGTCTTTTCTCTGTGTGTCAGATCCCATATATCTATAAGAAAGGCAATGTGTATGAAATGGGACAAGTTACACATGAGTTATGTTTCTGTCTCTCTGCAAATTGGAGGAGGCCCATCATATGCTCATTTAGAGTTCTTCCGGACTCAGCAGAAATAAACAAAAATTGTAGCTTTTGTACAACTCAGCCCTTAAATGAAAGCCAGTTATGTCTTGTGATGTTCTTTTAAAGAAACCATCATCTATTTCAATTCTGTAGACACGAATCAGTATGTGCTTTCTTTTATCTTATCCCGGTTTGAATAGAAGAATAATTTGGCTGTAGATCATAAACCACCCTCAAGTAGCAGTTTAGGAAATCAAACAATAACACTGATTTAATTCCTTCAGATATGGACTCCAGCCATAGTACAACACTTCAGCCTTCTGCGGATCCAAACACCAGTTTGGTGGAAGACTTGGACAGGATAGAACCTTTTTCAATGACAACTCGTAAGGATAATGACACGCAGCCCCTTTATTGACTCGCATTCCTGCTTCAGCTCTTGCTCACATTGGCCCAGATTCAGAGCTTGGTGGTAGAATGGTGCATTTAGTTGCTTCGTGGCTCAGCTCAGCCCAGAGCATAAAAGCTGTCTTCATGTCTATATTTTCTTGGTGGGGTTCTTTAAATCTGATTTTGCCTTCATTCTTCATGCTTTCCAGATTCAATGACCTTATATTAAAAAAACCAAAAAAATAGGATGTGGGCCTCCATTCAACTTGATGTTCCTTCCCTAAGTAGTATGTCAGTGACACCCAAGATCATGGCTAGGGCAGTGATTTCTTTATGTTTTAACTGAACACCCCCTTTTAAGTCCCATATTTTCTCCATCAAGGCAGAAGAGGGGTTAGGCTGTTTTAATGGTAAGACATTTTGGGGGCCAGATAATGACAGACAATAGGGAAATCACATTGGCCCGCAGGGGAGAGGGGAAGGCATGTTGTTGACAATTGACAAAGGTGGCAGGGCCCAGAACAAAAGGTAGCGGGGCCCAGGGACATCTCTTCCTGTCACTAACCATCCGGTAGAAGCAACACTAAACTTCTAGTAGCCTTAATGTCCATTATTCTCATATATACAGGGCTGTGCTAGACATCAGCCTAAAGCCATTCATAATTTCTTGACAGAATATGAAAGAAATCCAGAATTAAGAGGGCCTCATTTCACAGAGTCCTTCATGTGAGCCCTTTTAGGCAAAGGGAAAAGTCCGCAACCATCTGTTAATCATCAAGAATGTAAATAGCACAGTGTTAAGCATCAAGGGAGATGCAGATAAGCCGAAGAATGGTCCCTGGCAATGGAGAGTCTTGTATTTCCACTTTATGTCCCTGGTGACTTTTGTTTCGATGTTGGGTTTGGGATTTGGTGAATGTCCCTCTCTTGGTTTTAATGTTTATTACTTGGTGGTGGACGTGGCTTATAAAGTGCTTGCACCTGTAACTCAGAGGTCAGTACTTTTCTTAGAAGAACACAAAAGAAATTAACTCGACACTGTTAATGTGATTTCAGATACGGGCAGTGGTTCAACCTCAAATTGCATATATTTCAGTGAGGGCCCTGTGTTTGCCCAGGCAAGCGTTTCCTGGCGTTTCAGCACAGCGATGAGAATCCCATCCACAGATGAGATCAAAAACCTAATAATAGAGTAAAATGGGAACTTTAATTTAATGTTCTTTAGGAGGGAGTATTTCCTCTTATAAACTTGATCTGAGTTACTTGAGCAGGTTATTCTAGATGAATTTTTCCTCTTTTGTGGTTCCAGGTATACTTTGTGCTATCACATGTTTTTCCCTACAGTCATGCCTCTCGACACACAGTTAGGAGCACTGGGAATCAAACATTACTTCCTCCATCTCCATGTTCTCTGGTTTCCTGAGTGACTGGAAGCAACGCTACAACCGGGTCAGGATGATCCAGGGTAGACAAAGTTTTGGCTCAGGCTTCTCGTTGGCACATTACCTTTGTTGATCATACTGAAAAACAAAGGAGGTTAGAAGCCAAGCAGGGACAAAAGAGAATTCTATTGTACATTTTGATCGGCATGCACACACCTTGCTATTCTTATGCATCTACCTGTCTGACTCTTCTATAGTTAGACCCTCCCTGTCAGCAGATAACAGGATTTGTTTCATGGCTCCAAATTAATGCTGGATTCATCCCTCCTTTAAACAGAGCAGAGTCATACTCAGAGGTTGACTACATCACATGAAGGCTTGGAAGAAGATAATGACCATCCAATGATTTCTACTCCAAAATCTAGCAGTAAGGATTGCGAAGCCCAGGTGGCTTCAGCTATTGAAAACAATAAATTATGGATGTTTTTGCAGTGTCTTTGGTGGAGGTACATCAGTTGGCTGCTGTTATGCTATTACTTCTGATGAGAAGGTGTGCTGGTGATGGTTCTCTGATTTTTCTGCTTTGTAGACCTTTTAGAAGCCATTGTGTATTAACTGTAAATTATATTTCTTAATCATAAAGGTCTGGTTTCTTAAACTCTAGAGTTAGATTGCTTATATATGACTTATAATTGGTGTAAAGGTCTGACTTATATTACTCTCTGTTTTTCTTGTCTTAATAATATTATTTTCCCATTTATACACTGGACCATAAATCTACGGTGCTGAGGAGTAAGAAGCAGTGCCCTTCTGGCAAAGGAAAGACTAAAGCCTCAGGTCTTTGAAACCTGCATTGGCTATTCCAATTATAGGCAGCATAATATTACTTTTCAATTCAATGATGTGTTTCCTCTACTTCATCAAAGGTGGGTCCAACTGAGTAAGCACTCAAGATTATCTAGTACATGAGTTGACTTCAAGGTCATAGTTGTAGTGGCATAAACCTTATTTTAATAACCCAGGCACATGTTACAGCAAATGCCTCTTCTGGATATTAGGATCACTGAAATCTCTTCTGTTGAGTGATGTCCAGGTGATTGCAAAATATTGATTCTGTGCAATAGTGTAACAATTCACACTGTCTTTTGCTCTGTGTTCATGAATAACAAGTGGAAAGTTTTTCAGCAATTGCACGTTCTTAAGACAAGCACACGATGGTGGTGGTCTTACAAATGTGAGTTTACCATTGATTCCACTTCCACACAGATAGGAATGATGAAGGAGGTGAAAATCTTCCTAAAGACTCAACTACTTCAGTGGAAGGTTATACTCCTCAATCTCCAGACACAAATGAGTACAGGACCTTCATTCCAGTGACTCCTGCTGGCACTGGGTCCCCTGGAGTTACTGAAGTTCCTGTTGTTGGAAATTCCATCTCTAACGTTGATGGTTCCTTATCAGGTAATTTGCTCATTTGTTATCTGGTTTGCTTTCTCTATGTAGAGAAACAAAACATACCTTCATGTTACAGGGGACATTTTCTGTGTAGGCTATGGTTAGACTGATTTGTGACATGAGAATAGCTTTTATCATGTCATCATTCTAGTGCAAGTAAACTTAGATTTATTTTAGATAAAGAATGCTTTCATTTGCTGGTGTAATTTTCGTTTATTTTGTGACTTGGTTGTTATGGTAGAATTTCTTTCTTTGCCTTATTCCTGATTTTGTGATATATTATGTTGGGCCATATGAAATTGATATTTTTGTAGGCCAAAGAAGTTAAATATTAGCAATTTCATTTGGTTCATCTAATATATGTTGCCTGGTTAGTAAGGTTTTTGAATAATTTCCATATACTAATGTCTTTACTCTGAAATTATTGTCTTCTATTGGTGATGGATTGGTGAATTTTACTTTTGGTGAAAGTCTTGTAGATAAACCTCTTCTAGTTATGATGCACACTTCGAGCTTTATGTTGTCTTCTCTTAATGAATAGGCACTATTTCTCCTGTAACAGCAAAGAGATGACCGAGGATGACTTATTCAATTAAGTTGGACATGGACCTAGAAAGAGAATGAGACTTCTCAAATATTTCTGCTTTTCTTTGTTTCTCCATTTACATTAAGAAAATAACATTGAAGAAGAGGGAACTGAAAAATATCTATTCTGGCTAAGAAACTAAAATCGGATTCTCTCCTCCTGGTGCCAATTATTCAACTACTTCTTACCACTCAACCACTAAGGCATATTAAAGATTAGTGATTTTAAAGATAGGGTAGTCCCCCCTTTATTTGTGGTTTTGCTTTCCACAGTTTCAGTTACCCATAGTCAAGTGTGGTCTGAAAATGTTAAATGGAAAATTCCAGAAATAAACAACGTATGCGTTTTAAATTGTGCGCCATTTTTAGTAGCTTAATGAAATCTCATGCTGTCCGGCTTCTTCCTGCCAGGGATACGAATCATCCCTTTGTCCAGTGTATCCACCTGTATACCCTACCCACCCCTTAGTCACTTAGTAGTCATTTTGATTATTAGATTGACTGTTGTGGTATTGCAGTGCTTGTGTTCAAGTTACCCATATTTTACTTAATGCCACAGTCACATAACTTTTATTATAGTATATTATTATAATTGTTCTATTTTATTATTAGCTATTGTTGCTAATTTCCTATTGTGCCTAATTTATAAATCAAACTTTATCGTAGGTATGTATGTATAGGAAAAAATGGTATACATAGGGTCCACAATTTTCAGGCATCCACTGGGGGTCTTGGAACACATCTCCTGTGGATAAAGAGGGTCTACTGTATCTATATGTATTTTTGTAGCATAGGTTCTTTCCCTCCCCTCCTCCCAAAAGAAGAATAAATCTTATGAAAACCCAATATGTAAAAGAGATGAAAGCTGTGATGTTCTGACTGATGTGGTGACAGAAAACCCAGAATGCTACATGTGTGGCCTCATTTTTCTGGGCTTCAGGGAAAACAATTTTAAAAAATACTAACTTTGGCAATATTGGCAAGACAGAGTCCCTCACATCCTTTGGTTCTTTATTCAGCATGGTTCTGCCCTCGGTTATCAAAAAGTCCAAGTAGCATTTTCAGTATTCTTCTGGAGAGATGACTTTTAGAGCACTGCCTAATTTCTCTTGGCAAAATAAGGCCTGTTATGCAATCTAATGAATTTAAATTTTAAATGGAAATATTAATAGTTACAATAACCTATTTGTCCATAAATAAAATGCTCTCTACAAAATTGATATTCACATATGCTGATTCCTTGTACATTCCATGGCAGTACAAATTTTCCATGGTTCTCCATGGGTTAAATGATTAGTAAGTGATCTGACTCTCATCCTTGGTTTTCTTCCAACGCATTCAGATAAGTGCTCATTTCTTCCCAAACATTTTCCCCAGTCTTTATGCATGTGTTAAAAACTAAAACATTTGGAATTGTGGTGGTGGTGGTGGTGGTGGTGATGGTGCTGTGGTGGTGATGGTGGTGATGGTAATAATGGTACTGGGGCTATTGGTGTTAGTATCTCAGCAAATGCTGTTTTTTGTTATTCTAACCATCAGCCAAGGAACAAAGCAATCTTTCTCTCCTATACAGTTATATGAGAGATTACAGGTCACCTACCTCCCCCTTATAGGAAATAGTGATGATCAGATTATTGTATATTTCTTATACATACATAATGAGTGACTATAGCCATTTTATGAAACCATTGTCCTGTTTTGTATTGTTTTGTTTTAAGCTCCCAGCATAGTTTTGGAAAATGTGTGGGGAGGAGGGAGAAGAGTGAGAATTTCCATGTGCTGAATCCAAGATCTGACTTGAGGATCCAGACTTTAGCAGTTCATGAACTTGTCTCAATATAAAGACTTTTGGTGATGGATGGTTGAGAAGATGGAGTACATTAACTCTTGGTGTTGAAAATGCAGATTTTATTTTTCCAAAATATTACTATTTGAAATGTATTCTAATAACAAGGTATACATTAGTCACATGGTAGCTATCAGCACCCATTTTTTCCACTTATTTTCAGACTCTTTCTCTAAATAAGCAGTTGAATTTTTTCTTTGAATCTTTACATAATTCAACCCCCAAATTCCTTATTGCACATCAAAATATTTTTCTATTTCCTGCCTAACAGAAATCTTTTTAAATGTCGCATGCCCTAAGCCACAGAAATAGTCATTCTCATTGATCACATGTGTTATAATCCAAAACATATAGTCCTTATTTCAATATCAAATCCCGACCTCAGACCTGTGAAGACATCATAATATTTTTGTTAGAGTGTTACAGTTATTGGGTTTCTACCAAAGCCACACTTCCTATATTTATTCTTGATGGACTGTGCTGTCCCAGTTTCCTTAATTTTGATTAAACCTCTAGCCCACCCATTAATGGATTAAGCAATGAACAGGAACTAATATTGTGGGCCCATTCAAGGCTCCTCTGCTACCATTTTGGTTACTTTTAAAAGACTACACTTTGTGAAGGCTTGCATGGAAATCCAAATGTGAGGAACTGCCGATGGCAGTGTAACTGGAGCACACAGTCCTGAACCTCCTCTAATTGTTCCTTACAGAAGACCACGGCTCATCTTCTGACCCCAGCGGGAGAGCGCATACCACTCAGGGATCTGAGTCAGCTGGTAAGTTTCAGCTGCTTTAGTCATATACTGTTGTCATCATTGAACCTGCTGATTATTGATGAAATCTGAGTCAGTGTCTCTGGAAAAGTGGTTCTCAAACTTTCTTAGCATGGGGAGGGCTTATTAAATCACACTAATGGACTCCATCCTTAAAGTTTCTGATTTTGCACATCTGGGGTAGAGCCTGAGCATTTATATTTCTAATAAGTTCCCTGGTGATGCTGCTGCTGCTGGGACAAGGACTGCCCTTTAAGAACTATTGCTTTGGAGAAAAGTCCTCCAGCTGAAAGGATCAGGAAGAATTCAAGCAGGGTCTCAAATTAACCAGAGTGATTAAGAACAAGGGTTTTGGAGTAAAAATGACCTGGGTTTGTTCCCAGATCCTCCATATGCAAACTGGGGAGGTTGCTTATCAGATCTGAGACTCAATTTCCTAATCAATAAAATTGGGATAATAATAATAATTGTCACAGGACATTGTTTTAAAGCCTAAAGGACAGAATACCTGTAAAGCATTTAGCATAACTCCCAGCACATGGCATAATAGCTAGCATTTATTCAGAATTTACTGTGTGCCAGGAGCATTGTTCTAAACATTTTACGTGTATTAGGGTGGACCATAGCAAACTGCCATTTCTGTAGGTCAATAGTCAAATATCAGTGATTTCATATGTTTCACCTATTTTTAACTTATTTAATTATCCTACAAACCCTGCGACCTACGCGAGTACTATTATTATCCCAGTATTACAGATGAGGAAACTAAGGCTCAGAGAGACTGAGTGACTTGGCTGAGTTGACGTAACTGGTGAGTTGAAGGTGGAGCCAGGTTTAAAGCCCAGGGGTCTCATCGCCTCTCATAAGCACAGTCTGGAGAAAGCACTCTAATGACCATAATTACCGCCAGGCATGCATTATTAAATGGTTCCTGTTTGCTGTGACTCAGGTCACACCCATGGAAACATTACTCCAGGCAGCAAACTTCTGACCTGAGGCAAGTTTACTTGCGACCACAGACACTGGGGCTACTGAAAGGCTATGTCAGTGTTGTCTTCCTGTGACCTCCCCGAGCATCACCAGTTCAGATGACACCATGCGAGCCTGGTCATCCATATGTACTACTGTCCCCTCCTTCATGCCTATGTTGGAAGTTGGGTTCCCTCTAGGCTTAAAGGTTCATACACTTAAAGCAAAATGAAGATGGATATTTACATGGTGGTTTCAGTGATAACCTTTTATGTAAGAGAACAAGGATGTGGGGGCTCATTATAAATCCTTCTAAAATAAAGACAGAAGTCCCAGGCTCTCTGGGGACCTTGAGTGGGGCATTTAGCCTTTCTCAGCTTCAACCTCCTTATTAGAAAACAGGAGATCCGAACACCAGCCTCAGTTACCTCCTAGAGTTCTTGTAAAGAATTTGAGCTATCAGGAATATGAAAATATTTTGGAAATCATAGAGAGTTATTACCAAAAGACGATGTTCTCTAAAATCAAGAGACCCCAGCTACTCCAAGCGTGGTCCTTGGACCAGCAGCACGGACATCACCTAGGAGCTGGTTGGAAATGGAGAACCCCCATCTATTTCAGACCTACTGAATCAAGATATGCATTTTAATCAGACCTCCCCACTCTACTAGGTGGCTTATATGGACATTAAAGTTTGAGAAGCACTACCCTCGATGGTTTTTTTCACAGTTGAAACCAGCTGAATTATCTCTGTGCACACTTCTCAGATTGGATCTCATCTCCCAACTACAGTGTCAAAAGTCCTTCTTTGCAGAACTTGCTTTTCCAGCCAGCTCTACCCTGGCTAGATTTGCAGACCTTCAGGGTACAAGGCGAGACCTGCTGTATCTCGTCCATCTTCTTGGCTTTTGCTTGAAGTGAGAATCAGGTGGGCGGGAGCGGTCTCTTTGTTTGACTCCTGTGCAGGTGTCTATTGTTCAAATGGAAGGTTTCATCTGTTTGTACACACACCCAAATCTTTCCTTGCTAGGAGCACTTTTTTGGAAAATCAAAATAAAGACTTTATGATCCATTAATGGCCCCCCTTTCAAATATCAAAGGCTGCTGTGAGTGACTATACCTCTGAGGTGATTTTCATGGCCAGAGATCTCCAGTTTAGATGGCCGATATACCATGACCTGTGCAGGTGAATGCCTGCCAATGACCAAGGACTCCCATAGGCAGAGAAAGTGCCTTGGACTCCTTCTGAGGTTTGCAAAGTGAGAGGCCACTGTCATAATGGCATGATGTATATTGAAAAGGCCAGACATATGTAAGACTGTTTTGCTCCATTTTGAACTTAACAAAAATGTTAAATTGCATGAACAGGAGCCATCCTATCCAAAACAATCTTTGTAATCAAGATTTCAGTGTCTACCAATCACAGTCTAAAGTTTGACCCTCCTAGAAAAGGTTTTTGTCTAAGACCCAGCCACCTTCCTCCATTGGCTATCCAAGCAGATGGCCCTATGTTTTTGTTCTCTTGGAGGGCTTCAGGATTCTGCAATGGGTTCCCATTTGGTAGAGATAAAAGAGTTCATTTTAGTGGGATATTTTCAAATTTTGGTTTAAAGCAGTAAAGGAAGCATAAAAAAACAGCAACAGAGCTTTCATTTGGGTGAATGTCTTCATGAAACGTCTAAGTAGTTTTTATTAAAGTACAATGCCTCCCTCATTTTGATACGATTCCTGTTCTGACTCGGGGATTCTTTGTCTTGCGATGCTTCCTTCCAGTTTGAGATTGTTTTGTTTGTTCCGTATTTTGTTTTGTAGCAGTAGACAATGTTCATTCTTTGCAAACAAAGCATGTTTCTGTAATACAGAGGGTGCCAAAATAAATGTATACACATTTTAAGAAAGGAAAAAACTGTATTAAAATTGTAGTACTCAATATATACCGATAACAAAAGATGAATACAAGTCACGTGTATACAAATTTTTGGCACCCCCAATGTATTAGCAGGGAATCTAACAGGGTGATTTTTCATAGGCAGGAAGGTCCAAGGCCCCACCAAACCCTTATGTTATAATATTTATGTGTGCTTTTATGATGACATTGGATGTGACTCTCATATTTGCTTTGGACTTTCTGGAGCATATGAATCCCTTAGGGGTCTTGTTAAAATGAAAATTCTGATTTGGCAGGTTTGAGGTGAGGCCTGGGATTCTGTATTCCCAGCAACCTCCCATGTGATGTCTATGCTGCTGGTCCTGGGACCCCACTTGGAGAAGCAAGGTCTTACATTAAAAATAGAAAATAACCTACACACTATTACCATTCTTGTGTACTTCTTTACACCTCTGTAAAACTATGATGAAGTGTATTCTTATTACCGTACTTAAGAGTAAGAAAGCTGAGACTTGGAGAGAGTAACTTGACCCAACAGACATTGCTAGCAAGAGGCAGAGGTGGACGCACAGCCAGGGCTGTCTAGCTCTAGAGCCCTGCACTTTGCTACTGCTGAGAATTGTCATGCTCTTGATGAAAAATAGCATTTCCAAACCTTAGCCTGAATCAAACCGAACTTAGCAGAGGAGCTATCTTTCCTGGAACATTTTATATATGTCTGTGGCTGGAACCTACGAATAGCTTCGCAGTGATGCAGGACGCAGAGGCTGCCCTGTGTGCTGCTTTGTAAGCCTGGTTATGCATTCCAAACTTTGGCTGAAAGGTGTTGTTTTTCCCTTTAGGACACTCAAGTGGGAGTCAAGGTGGGGCCAACACGACCTCTGGTCCTATAAGGAAACCTCAAATTCCAGGTGAGTTTCGAGCTGTGGTTAAAAAAAAAAAAAAAAGGTGTCACTGAATGTCCCAGAAAGGAAGAAGCAATCACATTCTCCTAAATGTCCAAACCGACCTGATTGTTGCTCTTTGTAAGTCAAAGATGAATGAAAGCATTACAGTCTCTTGATGAGAAAAGGTGGAACATTCTCTTTTTCCTGAGTTCCATAGATTGGCTGAGTTTATATTCAGACTTGCCCCTGGCCTGTCCCAAAGGAGTGCCATGTTAGTTACTAAAGCTTCCTTCCCAGTCGAGTGATCACCCAGGGGACTCCATGTCATACCCAGATCCTGCCTGTCTTAGCCCAGTTTCCCCTTTATTTCTGGTGTTTGGGGTGAAATGTGTAACTTTTCTCTCACATTGCAGACAGTATATTTTGTGGAGTGAAAACATTCTCCTGGTCCCCAGACTACTTTTTCTTGAGGGACAGTCTTCACTGATTTAGATAGAAGAAAGTTTTAGAAAGTGTTACTCGCTCCCTTGAATGTCCAGACTTAAGGCCTTGGAAGCAAATTCTTTATTTGATTAGGGCTCAAAACTGAGCATTTGTAAAAAGGGATTACAAAAAGGGAAGGGTTTTCCTAGGGTTGTAAATGATCCTTTTAATTCTCCCCTTTTTAGAGGCCTTCAAACTGAGTCTCCCATGGGGATAAGGGAGAATGTGGGGTGTGCCCCCCAGCCTCAGCTTGCTTGGGCTTAGCTGGAGGCAGAGCTTGTGGAGTGGGAGCGGACTGCCAGGAAGAAAGAGGGTGCGGGGGGGGGGATGTAATTTTCTCTAATTAGGCAGCAGGATTCTTCCCGGCCCTAGTGAGTGTGAAAGGGGGGCATCTCAGAGCTACAGACCTGAGCAAGAACAGAAATGGTTCCCTTCTTTAGCCTCCCTTCCTCCTGACTTGATCTTGCTCCCCAAACTCACCTAACCAGATAGAGGTCAGGCAAAGGCAGTGCTGAGCAGGAAATCAGAGGAGAACCAAGACTCTCAAAGAGGCATGGGCAATGAAAGACTGCTCCTCTTTCTAATTTCTCAAGCTCTAGTTCATTGTACAGATATGCAACCCACTTGGCCGCTGAATTTATTCAAGTTGTCAAGTCATATTTTAATCTTATTAAAGCTTGATTTTAAAACATGTGTGTAACATTTTATTAATCCACTAGTGATACACATTAATTATTAGAGACATTTTAGAAAATACAGCTAAACAAAAGGACAAAAATATAAATGACTTAGTACCTACCTCACCATCCAGAAATACCATGGTTACCATTTTCATATATGTCTTTCCTGTCATTTTTCAATGTAATTTATATACAAAAATATAATTATACCATATATGCTCTTTAGTAAACTACTCTTCTCAATGGGTAGGCCACAGCTTTCCAACGTCATTAAATGTTTCCCCCCCCATATTATAGCACCTAATACAATGGGTGTACCCTAATTTATTCAATTGATCCCTTACTGTTGGATATTAGGTTGTTTCCAACTTTTACTATTATAAATAGCACAGTAATGAACATCTTCATAGCGATTTCTGAGGTCCTATAAATTCTAGGTCTGCTCGATCAAAAGCATGTGCATTTGGAGGGTTTTTGAAAATTTTGAACAATTTTTGACCAATTGCCCCTTAGGGAATATGCACAGCTTCAGCCCTCAACAGGAGTGTTTTTTTGCCCACCCACTTGTATGTGGCCTCCATCTTTGTTTCTTAATAAAATGTAGGGTGGATGTTCTTATATAGGAAAGGAATGTTTCTTTCAAGGGAACTACAAGTTTCCTTTAGTATACTTGATAATATTGCACCAAAGGCATCTACAAGTTTCAACAGGTCATTCTAAACTTTTTTGGAGACATGTTTCTCCTGGAGGAACTTGGAAACCGTTACTGATAATGAGAGATTAAAACAAAAGGCCTGTTGGACAAATACTTATTTAAAAAAATCATTCTTCCAGTATTATCTGCTGACTGGCTGGGTTATTTGGTTGGACTCGTCCGTAGTACTGACTGTGGTTCGTGTTTGGACTATGTCAGGTTTATGCAGTGATGTTTTGTTTTCACAATGTGTACTTCCCAAGTTCACAGTGTCTTTTGGTTCATTCGTACCAGAATGGCTGATCATCTTGGCATCCCTCCTGGCCCTGGCTTTGATTCTCGCAGTTTGCATCGCTGTCAACAGTAGAAGAAGGTAAGAGGATGCCCCTCAGAGCCTTCCACTTTGAAAGAACATCATTTAAACTTAGGCTCTGTCCCTGCTGCTCAGAGTGTAGCCCCTGGAACTAGCAGCCTCGGCACCCAGGGGATTGTTAGAAATACTAAATCTCACCCCAGACCACCTGTGTCAGAGTATGTTTTGACAAGATTTTAGAGATTCATGTGCATGGTACAGTTTAGGAAGCTCTGCTCTGGCACGTTCTTTAGAGAAAGGAAACACTGGGATTATCTGGACTGCCACTTTTAAATAGTGGTTGAATCTCTTGGGGTTCTTAATTATTTTGAGGTTAAACCCACAGAGACTCTTTTTAATGAAAGTTATGAAATATCTCACCAGGAAGGCATACAAGTATTTATTCATTAATTGATTCATTAAGCAAATATTTATTAAGTGCATTCACAATGCACAAAAACACCACATAAAGATTCAGGAATTGGTCATCCTCTGTCTGAGGCCCATGGAATTTCCTAGAATCCTTACCTAAAACAGGCATCGAGTTCGTGTGTGTGTTTGGTTTTTTGTAAGGACACTATTTTCTATTTTCTGAAAGCTGCAGTTGAAAGGATTCAGATTATGGCTAAGGTGAGCTTCCTGACAGTGAGGTCTATGAAACAATGAAGAACTTTCCTTGCAAAAATCTGAATAAAGACAGCCAACTCCCTAGAACTGGCATGGGAGCTGCTTTTGTATCGTCAAAGGTCTCTCTCTCTCCCTACCTCAACCAAGGCCTATTGTCGTAGAAGTTATGTAAATGACACATGTACCTGGTTGAGCTGTGACACCGCTCCAGAAATAATGCTCCCTAAAGTGAAGTGAAGGAAAATAGTAATTCTAGAAGCAAAGGAAGTGAACTTGGACAGGGATACTCCATAAATGTAGGTCTACATTTCCTGTTTAAGATGCTTTAAAGATGCATTTTTTTTTTCTGAGCATATGCACAGGAACTTTAAACCTTTTGTTAAGTGTCTCTTGAGATTTCTTCTTATAAGGTAAAAGAATCTTATTTCCAAGTGGGGCCAGCTTTATTGTATCACTAGATCATCTAACAGGCCAGAAAATGCCCCTCGGTTTGGGAAAAGACCTGGAGAAAATTCAAGAATCTTTCTTGTTGGCTTTTGGAAAGCAGCAAATACCTAATTCCATTGCTGTGTGCAGCCCATGCAGTATCTCTAATTATTTGAGGAAATCAAATAATGCCATCTTACACTGGCACAAGTTAATAAAAGTACTATGTTAAAGTCAAATAGCTGTGTTGCTATCTGTACCTTGGAGGGCATAATACAAAAATGAGTCATCATAGCTGATTGTATAAGGAACAAAAACTGGGAAAGAAAATCTGAAAGACCTCCTAGAAGTCTCCTATGACTAAATGGAAAGAAATTTTTTCTTTAGTTGAATTTAAATAATGTGACTTGAGGGAGCCCTTACAAAGAGTCTTTATCCTTTCCTCCAGCTTCCTTGTTTTCTCTTAGATTACTTGTGCTCAGTTAAATACAAATTTCCTATTGTTGGAAATCAGTCCTTTTGTTCCAGGCCATAGAATGCACACATACAGTCCATGAGCTTTGCGCATGTCTCCATAGAAACATTGGCCCCTGATGCTGTGACGTGGGGGAGACCCCAGAGACGCACCTCAGCTGGCCTGGAGAGCAGCTGGAGTCCGTGCAGTGTGGCTGGTTAGCTCACACGTCCGTCGCTCCCCATCGTGTCAGCAGTAAAAACGGGCCCCATTGCTACGCTCCTCCTCTCCCCAAGACCAGCAGTCACCCTAGCAACAGGCAAACAGGGACCTGCAGGATCCGGTACAGCGACTGTCTCACTGGGAAAGTAGCCGCTTGGACGCCGTAAATTACTGTGTCCTGATCTGATAATCAAAAACAGATTTGCCACGCAGCTGAAGGGTGGTTAATGGCTTCACATGCCTTCAGTGTTGACTAAAGCCACCAGCCAGTTTCTAATCCTCTTAAAGGCAAGCGGCCTTTCTGCTTTGAACATTGCGTTTTAGAGAGATACAGAATCCTATTTTTACCAAAGAAAGTTTGGTTGGAAGTACTCGTAGGGATCCACAACAGGCACTCATTTATTTGGCGACGTCTTTTGAGGGGCGGCTATGGCTGTCAGCAGCACAGGTGAGGAGAAAGAGATGAAAAACAGAAAGAGCACCCTCCCCTTTCCTGAATGAATCCTGAGGTTTTGTGGCAATACTGACTTGTTGAATTTGAGTCAGCTAATATTTATTGAGCACATACTCTGTGCCAGGCACTTTTAGATGAATTGCCGTTAAAAGATAAAAGTGGAAAAGCATTAGTCATTGAACTTGATGTTCAACGGTTGATCACAGACTTCCATGGCAATGTGACCTGTGAGTTGTGTCACCTTAAAGATTCTGATTTAGGGGTCCTATTATTTCTTTAGCTTTTCCTGTCCCTGTCATAGCCCACATCACCTTTCCTTGCTGTTGTTCATGTAACCAGAGTCCTTGAATGGCAGCTTTCCAGTGAAAATTGTAGTTTATTCATTCTCTTTAAGAGCAAACAATAGTTTTAGGAGTCAGTTGGCTCTGCAGATATTGGATGAAGCCTAAGAGAAGAACTTAGGTATCTTTCCCTTAAAGAATGTATCTGACTTATATGAAGAAGAGGGAAAAAAACTGTGACAGTCTGGCCAGAGAAGGCTTCACAAAACAAGAATGATTAAAGAATGTTTCTAAGCCGATTGTGCAAAAAAGGCCTTCATCAGCTTTCACTCTCACGGGAATAATCTTTTCTTTGACTCCCCCAGCGGGCAGTCATCCACCCTCTGCTTGGTAGGTCACCTCTATAAAGCTCTGTGATTTAGAAATGTCGCCCATCTCTTAAGCTGTGGTCTAGGTCACCATAATGTAGCTCACCCAACCTGGTTCTGCCTCCTAGTGCAGAGCTGCCCATTAGAACGTTCTGTGATGATGGAAAGGTTCTATATCTGCGCTGTCCAGTACACAACCATGAACCACTTGTGGCTACTGAACACTCAAAAAGAGGCTAGTTGGACTCAAGAAGTAAATTTTTAATTTTGTTTAGTTTTAATTAGTTTAAATTTACATAGCCACATGTGGCTATTCGCTATCATATTGAATGTCACAACTCTAACACAAAGCAAAATAAATCTCGAAAATTGTTTACGGATTGTCAGGTAGAAGAGACATAAAATCAGTTTTTAAGTCCTTTTGTTCGAGGGGTACCTCCTTAAGTCTTTCAAGAGAAATTTCTCCGTGCCTTAAATGTATGTTACCTGGTTTCTAAACCCTATCCTGAGATTTAAGAGGAAAGGAGATAAAGGCGGGAAGCAGTTTGGTGGAGATCTCTGACCTTTGGACTCAGAAAATCTACCGTATTTCCCCATGTGTAAGATGCATCCTTTTTCGAAAAATTTGGGGTCTAAAACCTGGGTGCATCTTATACAGTGGTTGTAGATGTTTTGACAGTGATGAGGAGTTGTATGAATTTTATGATGAATAAAACTTGAGTTCAATAACTTTATTTAATACATTTTTTTTCAAATTTTGGGCCCCAAATTAAGGTGCATCTTATACATGGGGAAATACGGTAAGTTGTAGCTATGCTGTAGGTCTTGCCATAGCTAGCAGAGCAGCCTCAGACAATATCCTTGACATTTTGGACCAGTCTCCAATTTACATAAAGAAAAGGTTGGGTTGGATGACTTCTGAGGTCCCTTCAGCTCAAACGCTCCTTTTAAAATTCTTCTAAGAAGAATGAAAAACTTAGAAATTGTCTTTTAAAAGTACTTACTTAAATGCCTGGAGTACTAAATAATGGACTGAGTTGTTTATGAAAATCACCTTACCCTCTTCAAAGAACTCAGTAACAGAGACACACAGATCCAAAGGGAAAGGCAGGCAGGACTACACAAGCACCATATTTTGAAGCCCTACAGATCGAACGTTATCCACTTTCAAAATGAGCTTCATCAGTGTTACTAACATCAATCCCCACTTCACCCCCATGCACAAACATATTTTTATGCTTATGAAAATACTATCTTGCAATAGTTCATTCAACTTCTCCAGTGCCTATTTGGTAGGCAAATGGGAATTACTTTAACCTGAGAATCTGAAATAACATCAGCAGCATTCTACCTTCAGCCTTTTAAGTCGTCTTCATAGTCAATATGACAAGGTGGGTGGAGGGAGCCAGGGGAGACTAACAAAACCCATTTCATATGGCTCTTGCTGTATTAACAATTCCAGCCAGTGATTCTTGAACATTTACTGTGTTCCAGATACTGCTCTAAGTGCTTATCCATGGTCTTCGTTTCCTCAATCCACAGTGTTCATTAAGAGCAACAATAATAGACTCATGTATGCAGTGCCAGGCTCTCTTCTCAAGGGCTTTCCACAATCTTGTGAAACTGGTACTGTTCATAATCTGATATTACACATAAGAAAGCTGAGGCTCAGATAGGTTAAGTGAGTTGCTCAGGTCACACAGCAGTTAAGCTCTCAAAACCAGGCCTTCTAAGGCTCTGCTCTTGTCCATGTGAATGGCGTCCACACTCCCAGCCCACAGATCTGCGGCAAGGCTCAAGCATCCTTCCCTCTGCCCCTCACCAAGCATCCTGCCAGAGGAGATAGGATCTACCTCCTGTAGAGGAGGTATTATTTCTATTTCCCCAAACAAGAGATTAAAGTTTATGGCCTTGGCAGTCCTAGTGGGAATGGCCCATGATCATGAATAATAGAGGCTTTGTCTATATTATCCCAAATATCCAGCGGCAAAGTGAACAATTCCGACTTCATACAGTTTCCAAATCTCCAGATGGTTGGCAGCGTGAATAGAGCTGGGCAGAGTCCAGGCTTTTGGTCATAAATGCCTAGATTTGAATATTGACTCTATGTCTTAATAGGTGTGGGGCCTCAAGCTAGCTATTAAACCCCCCAGGGCCTCAGTTTCCACTGCTATAGAATAGGAATAACAGCTGCTTTGCAAGACTATTGTGAGGATTACATGAAATGACATGTAAAGTGCCTGGCATTCAGGAAGTGTCCAATAAATGCTAACCCATTTCCCCTTTTCCTCACCCCACTTGTGAGGCTCTGTAATTTTGCTTCTATCAAGCATAATCTGACTTCTAGATGTGTAGCAGTGATCATGTTACAGGAAAGAGGAAGCATTGGATGAGGCAGTACTATGACAATGCTATGCCCCAGGGGCAAGATTAAGGTCGTGCTCTTCGTAGACCTTGTACATTCACATTTTAAGTAATGTTACTGAGAAACCTTAAAATAACAACAACGTTACTAAGAAACCTTAAAGTAACAGTGAACTATTTGCCTTGTGTAGTTCAATCCCCTATATCCAGGGTTATGTGGAAGTTAACCAATGTTAGGGGAAAAAATCAATACGGCCTTACACTTTCAAAGAAATGGTTGCCTCATTCTTCTTCGTACATGCAGTAATAACCCTGACAAGGCCAACCAAGTGTTGACTGAAGTAATGGGACTTTCTTGAATGCTCAAATCAATATGATTTAAAATCATCATGTTGATGGTTTATCTAAGTCTGCAGAAATTGCTACAGTACTTATCAGAGGCAAACATTTCTATTGTATAGTATGGAGGAAGGAGAATTAGAACTTGGGAATCAGACCCACCAGGGTTTGAATTCTGATTCTTTTATTACTTGCTAATCAACCTGGGGCAAGTGACTGAATTTTTCTGAGTCCCAAGGTTTCTTCACCCCTACTAGGGGATAATAATAGCACTAGCTTCCTGAGTTGTGACCACCAGTTCTCCAACTCGAGTGTGCATCAGAAACCTGTTGAGGGTTCGTTAAACCACAGGTGCTGGGCCCCACTCCTAGAATTTCATATTTCAACGAGTCTGGCATTCACAACTGATGCTTTTGCTGCTGGCTCAGGGACCTCACTGTAAGAAGTGCCAATTGTTAAGAGTCAATTAAGATGAAACATACCAAGACATTATTAACCATAGTGGTAATGATGGTGGTGATGACAATGATGATGATGATTGTGTCCCTGCACCTTTTTCTCATATGATCTTTGCATTACTAGGTGTGGGCAGAAGAAAAAGCTGGTGATCAACAATGGAAATGGAGCCGTGGAGGACAGAAAGCCAAGTGGACTCAACGGGGAGGCCAGCAAGTCTCAGGAGATGGTGCATTTGGTGAACAAGGAGCCGTCAGAGACCCCTGACCAGTTTATGACAGCTGATGAGACACGGAACCTGCAGAATGTGGACATGAAGATTGGGGTGTAACCTCTACACCATGACCTTGGAGAGAAATGACACATAACCATTACAGGGAGCTGGGACACTCCACAATGCAATGTGCTACTGATTATTTCATTGGGGTTTTTTTTTTAGCATAAAATTTTCTATTCCTTTTTGTTTTTTGTGTTTTGTTTTTTAAAGTCTGTCCAATTTATAAAAACAGCATTGCTTCCTTAAATGAGGGCCCAATGAACACTCAACAAGAATTTCACCGTTCCAGTTCCCATCTAGAAGCCTCTCACTCCCTGGGGGTGTGCTATGGACAGCTTCTAACAAAAGCCACGAATCCCTCTTCCCAATCCCCAACTTTCCTTCCACCCTACCTCCCAGGTGACAGCCACATGCTAAGGACATCCCTAAAGCTAAGAGGGATTGGTCCCTGGGAGGAAATTTGAATGGGTCCTTATTGCCCCTCCAGCAGCCCAATCCCTGGGCATTGCTTTCCAGTGGGGTAGGGGATCGGGGTGTACTGGTTACACATCCCCTTCTACAGACCTCCTGGAAATTTTTCAGATGCTTCTGGGAAATGCCCAAAGGGTGAAGCTATTTATCTGTAGTAAGCTATTTATCTGTGTTTTTGAAATATTAAACCCTGGAGGTCCTTTGATCAGTATGATATTTTTTTTTATTAATTCGTCAGAGGCATAAAAGGGTTTAAGCTGACTCATAATAAATATCTGTACTTCTTCCACTTTAACCTTTTGTGCTGTGATCCTTCAGTTTCTTAATCAGCAAGGTTTGGGTGCCAACCGTTCATCAGGAGGATGTGAGAAGGTCTTCCCTGAAAGTCTTCATCTCAGAGGCGCTAAGTCCCCACTCAGGCTCACTCAACCAAACCTCACAGAAGATCAAGGAAGACAGCACGAGTTTATTTCTGAGGCTCCAAAGGCTTCCTAGAAGCAGAATTGTAGGAGGGGAGCTTCAGCTGCTTTATGTTTTAATGGCCACCTGTTCTCTCCCCTGACGGGCTGTGAAAAGTCACACTATATTTGCATGACTTACCACTGTGGCATCCCATTTCATGGACACTGACCCCATTGGTGATGTCCAAAAACAATGTGGAAGTGCCTGTTGACCTCTTGTAATCAAAGGAAAAACAATGGAAATGAAAGAGAGCATAGAGAGCAGCCAAATGATTGGCACAGGCTGGGGAAAGGGGAGAGGGAGCAGTGCAGATCCTGTTTGAGTAATTTTATGGCTGTATTTGTTTATACTTTAACAAGCCAGTTATCTGTCCCCAGTGCAGTTGCTACTCAGGATAAGTTAAGTGCCTGGGGAATCCCTCAAAAGGTTATAGGACTTCCCCCCATTGGAAACATCACCAGATACCAGGGTCATGGCCAAATAAGAGATTAATGGCTTTATCCTTTGCTTGGCAAGTCCTTTGTCATCTTTATTCCTATGTTCAGAAGGCCCCACTCAGCCTGGAACTTCCATAGGCTACTTGTAATAGAAGAGATTGAATCTATAAAGTAAGGGCTCCTATAAAATGAGGCCTCCTTCCTTAGGTTCCCATGAAAAGTCATCCGTTGCCTAATCTGATTTGCTTAGCTGGCAATGTTCCTCACACAAAAGGAAGAAAGATGGAGATGGGAGCGGGTGGGGGTCGGAGGAAGAGGAGGGAGAGGAGAAAAAGAAGAAAAAGCTCCCATGTAAATCAGGGTGGGGCTTATACAAAGAGTTGGTTCTGAAGGAGATATTTAAAAAAGAGAAACCCACTTTCTGCACTCATTCCCAAACTTTACTCTCCCCCATCCACCCCCACATCCCCCTCCCTGCCATGGTCTTTGTAAACCTCCTTTCTCTTCTTCTGTGAACATGGTTGGCAACTGTTATATCAGCTGTGTGGTTTTCTTTTTATTTTCAAGTTGAAAGAAAATAAAATGGACATCTGGTCACCCTGTTTTTATCGCCACTAGTGTCTAAGTGCTCCCTGCTTTCCAAGAGCTTTCCTGGCTCTTTAACGTGAATGTGACAAGTCATTCTGAGATCAGGTTCGGGAGGGCTACTCCAGGCATCTGTGTGTGCCCCAGATTCCCCTTGGGGCCATGGAGAGTCACACGAGTTTCATAGTTAGGGATGGTTTTCCACCCCTTCTAGATATTCCCAACAAATAAGCTGAGATAGGAGATTGCTTTTTATTTTATTTTGGAATTAAATATGACCTTTCTTTTTACTATCGTTGCAGTCCCTTACTTGGATATGTCTCTGTGTTTTCAACATAGAAGTAGGGGAGGTCTAGAGCTTCCCTCCCTTAGATGCACTACCCCTGCAGTATCGCCTGAAGTTCATGGAATCAGATATATTCTCACCCATTTGAAATAATGGCATAACTCCAGAAGCACAACTTGACTACATGTTGTTCCTACCACTAACTTGCCAGGTGACCAGGGCTAAGTCATTAAACTGGGCTTGCTTGTAAAAGTAAGGGGCCAGTATTTCATTATTGTGAAGGCTTAAGAGAGCAAAGCTGCAAGCTTTGCAAAGCTGCAAGCTTAAGATGTCATTTTTCCTACAGTCATAAATCTTTTGAGTCTCCTAAGGGCTTCCTTTAAATTAGCACTGGGTGAAAAATAAAATGAGACAAAAGACACCTTCATATCCATTATTATTATTATTTATTTTTTTGGTAGATTCTAGCCTGAAGAATTGATTTCTCCTGCAGAACTTCTCAAAAAGTTTTACAATGACACCATGACGTGAAGAACCCATTTCATGGCCAACGTTCATTCAATTCTGGTACAACAGGAGTAGGAGAAAGGAAACCTTTGACTTCTCTAGAAGAGTAAAATGTACTTAAGAATAACATGGTCTACACCTTTATGTCATAGGCATGCCTTTTGTAAATCACTTTGAATGTTCAAAGACTAGTTCATTGTTCGCACATTATTACTTTGATTTTTCACAGCACACCCTTCCTCTGATTTTTGTATATTTCTTGATCGACCAGAAATAATGAGGAAACCATGATATGTATATCACCCAGTTGAAAGTGCTTATTGGAAAATATTAAAAGGCTACTATTAAAAGGCTAAAGGAAATGGACTTGAGTCTCTGATTTAAGGGGGAGGCAGAGCTATGTTATCTGGCTGTCTGGGTAATTTAGAAGCACAAGGTTAAAAGTTTTTGAGGTGGCTGAAGCTTTGCACTCATATTTTTTCTAAAAGGAAAAACTACCTGGATTTCTATCACTTGAGAATCTTCTTTTGGAGAAAGTTTATGCTTTCAGAGGAGGTGTATGTTCCACATATTTCAAACTAAATGAGGTATTGTGAAGTGTTAGTTTTTAAAAGTCAAGAGCTACTCTGTGACTTCCAGGTAAAGAGAGTAAACATACTCACCTGCATTCCCTTCTGCAAGCCTCTAAAAGGACAATAAATAAATATTCCAGACGGCAAAACCAATGGGGTCAAAGAGAATGAAAGAAGAGACGATAGTAACACAAATTTGAAGCTGGAAAGCGATGGTTCACTGGTAACTGACTGAGTGAATTTGGAAAAGTTAAATCATAAACCAGCAGTGGGTAAAGTTGAAAAGCAACCAGGTTTGTGCAGCAGGACTCCCCAGAGGCTCAGGAATGGCAGCATTAGCCCCGCTGGATATGGTAGAAAAGGTGGGGTTAGAATTCAGAAGATGGGTTTAAAGTCTGTTGAAGATGTTGTTAGAACCCCAGACCTCCTTCTCCACTTGAAGTAGCTGAGTCACACTGTTCTTTCCCAACTTCAGCAAATGACTGGGAGTTTGTTCTCTGAAGAGGGCAAAATAAAGAGTCTCTGATTGAAGGGCAACAAGGCACACACAGTTGACAGTAGAAATACGATACTGAAAAGTGAAACCAGGCATTAGGAATGTTGAGACTGCCTAGACTTCTCCCCCATCTTGGCTTCCAGAATGTCGACAGCCAAACATGCATGCATCTTCCAGGCAGAAATTCAGTCTTCCTGGGGGACCTGATAAGCCTAAGAGAAAACCCTAAAGATACTAACTTGATAGTTCCCCAAGGAAATGACCCAG